TGAGAGAGATCAATCTGGTTATCCGCTAGCCGTTGGTCTATAATCGAGTATCACCTGTTGACCAACTCATAATAATAATAATAAAAGACTCTACGTTTTCAAAACAGATATTTTATTAAAGTCAGGTCGGACAGCACAGTTTACGAGTACTGCAATGATGTAGGTTCTACACTATACGTAAAGTTACACGATATATTCTCTGCATCTGTCCCTTTGAAACACCACAAACGTAATTTGTCTTCCTATCCTCCCTGGTTTGATCGTGAAATTATAGACTGCATAAAAAATATCCAAAATGTTCAACAAAGCAAAAAAGTTCAATTCTACATATTTTAAAAACTTATTTATACACTATCGCTCTCGTTCCAAAGTACTAATCAAGAAAGCCTATCAACGCTATATTGTTGAACTTGAAACCTCATTTACTAACGATCCTCGCAAACTCTGGACTTATATTCAACTGCGAAAAGGCTCCTCACGTATACCAGGACTCATGAAACATAACGGCATTGAATTTTCCACTCCTTCTTCAATTGTGAATGCCTTTGCATCATTTTTTAGTAGTGTTTTTATTCATTCAGATGTAGATCATTTTAATTTTGATCTTCCTTTTAATGACTACAATACTAATATATTCATTTCATCCATTTCCGAAGAAGAGATTGTAACTGCTCTAAAGAGATGCAAGGATAGTTTCACTCAAGGCATTGATAATATTCCCAGCTTCATTCTTAAAGATTATGCTTACGTCTTTGCTAAACCCCTGCATCGTATCTTCAACTTGATTCTGAAAACTTCAACCTTCCCAAACATCTGGAAAACTGCCTGTGTTTCACCAGTTTTTAAAAAAGGCCATTTGAACAATATAGAGAATTATCGTCCAATTTCTCTCCTTTGTTGCTTCTCTAAAATGTTCGAATCTATACTTTATAAACACATCTATGGCTCTGCTAAAAATCTTATATCTAGTTCTCAACATGGATTTATGGAAAAAAAATCTACAGTTACCAATTTAGCATGTTTTAGTCAATTCACCACAGAAGTAATCAATAACCGAGGTCAGGTCGACGTTGTCTATACAGATTTCCAAAAGGCATTTGACCACATTGACCACTTCATTCTATTAGCTAAACTGAAACGTTACAGGTTCTCTGACGCATTATGTTCTTTGTTTAAGTCATATCTTGTAAATAGGAATCAGTGTGTAAAATATAAAGAGCACCTATCTGATGCTTATGTACCAACTTCTGCGATCCCTCAAGGGTGAAATCTTGGGCCACTTCTTTTTTTACATTTTATTAACGATATTACTGAGGTCATTGCATCCAACAAAGAACTTTTCGCCAATGATTTAAAAATTTATCGTAGCATTACTTACAACAAGATTTGGCTAATATAATGATCTGGTGCACGAAAAACCGACTTCTTCTTAATATTTCCAAATGTTTCATTGTTTCTTTTTGTTGCAAGATTCATACATTACTTTTTGATTACATTTTAAACGACATTTTACTTGTACGGAAATCGGAAATTAGAGAACTTGGCATTATTTTTGATGAGAAATTCACATTTAGACAGCATTTACAAGACATTACGGCAAAAGCATTTAGGATTTATGGCTTTATATATAGAAATTGTAAAAATTTTCGTTCTACATTGGCGTTAAATGCCCTTTATTGTTCGCTAATTAGAAGTAGATTAGAATATGGTGTATTAATCTGGTTCCCAATACCTATATAATATTTACATTACCATGTTAGAACCTATTCAACGCAAATTTTTTAAATATTTAGTATTTTTAATAGATGGCATTTATCCTCAACAAAGGCAAGGGTGTGATCATAATATGTTGCTACTTAAGTTTAATTATAATTCTTTAAATACTCGTCGAATTATTAATGTAATCCAGTTTTTAATTAAGATTTTTTTATTGTCACACGCCAAAATCCAATGTTTTAAAAAGATCTCCCATTTTCATTATGTGTAATATGTTCAATTTATATGTCACAGATTGTGATATTAATTTCGACTCTATGAAGCGGTTTTATGACGCTATTGTAAATTCAGTAGGTATATAACCATCATATTAGAAAATGTATTATTTTTATATTTTTTATTTTTAAAATTTTTAATTTATAAGTAATTAATATGGTATTTTCTTGTATTATATTTGTTCATGAATGCACGCATTTTGTTATACTTTTATTTTTAAATTTTCCTGTAATTGGATCTGTAAGACTTGTTGGAAATAAAGGTTATTATTATTATTATTATCGTTATTAAGACCCACCACTGACCCGGAAATGACCGGCATTCAGGCAAGACTTCTATCATTACGGATACTAAGACCAAGTAATGATATGCATTGATTAGATTAACAAAACAACTTTCGAGATTCTAGAATTACAGCATACAAATTAGTCTGCTATTATTCTCTAATCTCACCCCATCCCCAAAAGTCTAGCGTAACTACCGATCATTTATCCGCGCATCACTTGGAAAGTGACCTACACTACTCTGACCTACTGGTGCTAATCTAATCTGACTGACATGATCAGACTGTTCGAGAAACTTACGAACAATATGACATGTTCCTAACAAAACAGCTTTTTGAATTATGACAATTATTGAATCATTCAAATGCAAAGACTTTAAATTCTCAACTAAACTATTTGGGACTACACCTACATTAGAGATAACTAAGGGTAGAATTGAATTTTTTTTAAAATTCAACATGGATTTCATTTCTGTCGATAATTGTAGATATTTTGTAATTTTGGTGTGGTATGTTTGAATAATGTTGTGTTAGGAATAGCAATGTCAATGAGAATGGCTTCGTTCGTGTGTTGTTTGATAATTATGATGTCTGGTCTGTTAGCTAAAATGTTTAAGTCTGTAAGTATTGTGCGATTCCAGTATAATTTGTATTTGTTATTTTCAAGGAACGGAGATGGAATGTAAGTGTAATAGGGTGTCGTATCTTTGATTAAGTTCATAAGTGTTGCTAATTCTTTGTGAATGATTTTGGCTGCGTTGTCGTGTCTAGCTTTGTAGTCAGTTTGTGCCAGGATGCTGCACGAGGAGATTATGTGCTGGATCGTTTCAGGTTTTGCTTTGCAGAGGCGACAGCAGTCGTTTCTTATATTCGGATCTTTGATGATGTATTTTCTGTAATTCTTGGTATTGATTACTTGGTTTTGAATAGCAAACACAAATCCTTCTGTTTCGGCATACAAACTTGATTTTTTTAACCAAATTAATGACATCTTCTTTTTGCCATGAGTTTCTTCTAAGTCTGTAGAATTTTCCATGTAGTTGTTTTTGTTTTAGCCCACTTATTATTTTGTCTATTGTGTGGGGGGTGTGGATTTCTTCGGTGTTCGACAGATTTAAGGGTGTGTGGTTCAAATCTGCCCTTGTGATGGTGCGATACATTTCATTTCTGTCTGCTCGTTTCAAGAACTACTTCTTCAGATCTGAGATTTGTCTCTGATATAAGTTTTCTAGGTTCTGGAAACCCCTTCCTCCATTCTGTCTTGGTAATGAGAATCTTTCAATGGACGATTTGGGATGTTGCATTCTATACTGTGTGAAGATTTTCCTTGTTGCGATGTTTAAATTTTCAAGATTAGTTTTGGACCATTTAATGACTCCAAAAGAATATGTTAGCAGTGGAACGCAGAATGTATTTACTGCTTTCATTAAATTTTTTCCATTTAACTGTGTCTTCAATATTAATTTTAATCTCGCTAGGTCTTTCAACTGTGTTTTCGTTTTGGTATGATTGATGTGGGAGGATTGACAGAAACCCAGATATTTGTATGTATCATTTCGTTCTTGGGCTTCGATTATTTCGTTATTCTGGGTTATATGTGCTACTTGGTGTTGGAGGCCTTTTCTGATTGCTTGGGTCTTACATTTCTCAATACCAAAACACATACCAATATCACCGGAATCAGTCAGATTTAATAGGTTTGTTAACTGATTTTGTGTACTTGCATATATTTTTATGTCATCTATATACAGCAAGTGACTTATTCTGTTTTCTCTTTGTTTGTTAATTCTTATATTGAATCCATAATTGCAGCTGTTCAGGATATCGGAGAGGGGATTTATTGCTAAGCAGAACCATAACGGGCTAAGAGAATCGCCTTGAAAAATTCCTCTTCGGATCATTATTGGATCTGACTGAATTTTTTGTTCATTTAAGGTTATTTGGAGGGTGGTCTTCCAAAATTCCATGGAACATTTGAGAAAAGTGCAGATTTTAGTATCAATTTTGTATAATTCCAGAATTTTGCATAGCCAGGAATGAGGGACAGAATCGTAAGCTTTCTTATAATCAATAAAAGCAGTATATATGTTTTGGTTTTCTTTTCTAGCTTGTTCACAAATGATGGAATGTATGATTAATTGCTCTTTGCAACCAAAGGATCCTTTAATACATCCTTTCTGTTTTTCATTAATGATGTCAGAGTTAAAACAGTGTTGATAGATTTTTTGTGCAATGCATGAGGTTAATGTTTTATAGATTGTCGGTAAACATGTGATAGGTCTGTATTTTGATGGATTTTTTGTGTCGTTATCTTTAGGTTTTAGGTATGTTACACCATAACATAAGAATATTGGAAAGGAGGATGAGTCAAGAAGGAACTGATTTAAGTGATGTAGTAAATGAATATGTACACAATTTAATTTTTTTATCCAAATCAGAAAATCTTGGAGGCCATATTACTGGGTAACTGAAGAACATTTCTAGTAACCATTGATCCTTTAATCGATGTTCCAGGCTTCTAATTACTCAAATGGAAATGATTACACTATTCAGACTAATGTTTCTTTACAAATGTTGCAAAATAATTATTACAGTCGTCCTTTAAGTTAATAATGTTTATTAATCGATCGATTTACACCAGAAAAACGTATATTATTATTTTTTGATTTATTAAAGAAAACATGCTATATCAACAATTCTAAAATATTGATAAAATTGCCTAAATTGGAAAAGACAAATAATGCAGTCATCCAAAAAGTTCCGAAACAGGTACTCTATTAAAGAAATTAGAAAAAACACTGTTGAAGATTTTGTTGTAAGCTTCTTCGTAGCCGCTCTTAACATCTGCGTAAAGATCTCTCCAGTTGTCGTTAAGAACCTTATTTATTTGCGTTCCTAATTGTTCATCACCGTTGAACAAATTATCAAGTTTGTAATGAACGGAGTTAGGTTGCATCAAAAGCTCGCTTCTTGTTATTTTAAAGTATTTTTCGCCATTTTTGACATACTCTTCAAAATGACAAGTGTAGTTACAAACCATTTCATCTTCAAAAAAAAAAAATATATATATATATATATAAACTCCAGATACAAATACTCACCAAGAATTATAAGTCCAGGCCCGTGTCCACTCAAGGGAAAAACTAAAATCTTTCCCCCCACATCATAAGTAAAATTCAACACTAATTCAGGAATCGTGAAATGAGTAGCTATTATCTTGTTATCAAAATCCACACTGCAACCATCATTAATCACATGGCACCAATTCGCGAATCAAACTTACTCAAATGTCGAAAACTTTGTTTTAGTTAGTCCTGAAATTTTCAAGTCGGTGTAATTTTGGTCGAATTTTGTGGGACCACTTCCTGGTGGTATGAACATAAAGGGAATTTCCAGTGGTTCCAGGTTTATCAGACCAGCTGATGGGATCGCATGGTTGAGTTGGCTAACACAATTGTCGGCGGCTTTTACCAAACATTGGCGGAAGTCGCTTTTATTTCTGCTGCATTTTTGGAAAGTGGAAGCTAAAAATGGTTTTTGACTTTGGAGAAGGTAAAGAGAAGAACTTACGCAGGTGTGCCGAAGAGCAAACACCAACGACAAAGAAAAATATTATTAACGATTGCATTTTTACTGAATGTTTGTTCTCGTTAGATGAGCTTGCTTTTATAAAGGAAAACCTGTTTTGATTTTTCTGAAACATGTTTATTGTAGACTTTGTTTGAATTTTTTTTGCGATGTTTGCACGTATATGGTGTCTTTGTACAGTATTTTAATTGCGGGGTTAAAGGTTAAACTGTGTTTTCTGATCGTGAACACGACATAGAATTTCCATTTAAAGAAAATAACAGCTTAATTCGTTTAGCATCATTGTTTTGTTTTACCGATTATTATAATTAGTCATCTAGGACAATGACAATGTAAACTTTAATTAATGTCCTTGCTATCTTATAATTATATCTAGCGAACAAAATAATTTGTAATTTGTAATTTTAAACAATTTATTAAAAGTCATCACAATATTTGTTTTAATAAAATTGCACTTCCACGAATCCTTTTCCTCACCCAAAAATTTCAGAAGCAGGTACTTTTTTCAACCAATTAGAAAAAACACCGGTGAAAATTTGGTTGAAAGCTTCTTCGTAACCACTCTTAACATCTGCAAAAACCTCCTTCCAATTCTCGTTAAAAACATCGTTTATTTGACTAATCTTTCATCACCGTTGAACAGATTATCAAGTTTGTAATGAATCAAGCTTGGTTGCATCAAAAGATCACTTCGTGTTACTCTGTAGTGTTTTTCGCCATTTTTCTCATATTCTTCAAAGTGACAACTGTAGTTAGAAAGCAAATTACCTTCAAAAAACAAAAATATAGAAACGACTCCACATGTAAATAAATACCTACTCAGAATGATAAGTCCAGGCCCGTGTCCAGTCAACGGAAAAGCTAAAATATGTCCCCCCACGTCATAAGTAAAATTCAACACCAATTCAGGATTCGTGAAGTCAAAAGCGATCACTTTCTTGTCAAAATCCACACTACAACCACCATTAATCACCCTTTGTTCCAACTGGTTAAGCAAACTTACTCAAATCTCCAAAACTGTATTTTGGTCACTCCGGAAAGCCTCAGGTTCGTGTAATTTTGATAGAATTGTGCGGGACCACCTCCTGGTGCCACTGACAAAAATGGAATTTTCAGAGGTTCGAAATTGATCAAACCAACTGACGGAATCGAATGGTTGAGCTGACTAATGGCGTTTTCGACTGCTTTTGGCAAGCACTGATTGAAGTCGCTTTTATGTCTGTCACATTTTTGGAAAGTGGAAGCTAAAGACGGTTTTTGACTTTCGAGAATTTAAAGAAAAAGGACTTACGAAGGTGAGTTGAAGAACAAACGGTGAGAAGCAAGGATAATATTATTAGCGATTGCATTTTAAGTGAATGCTTTGCTCTCTTTGGATCATCATGCATTTATAAAGAAAAACCTGTATTGGATTTTTCTGAAACCAGTTTGTTAGTGGATGCATTTATATAAGTAGTATTTTAATTGCAGGGTTAAAAGGTTAACCCGTATTGTGTGATGACAAACACGACACTAGAATTTCCATTTAATGGTGACTGATAACGCTTAATTCATTTAGCAAACTTGTTTTGTTTTATTGATTATTAGAAATCGAAGTTCGTACCTTGGTGGAATAGTGTAATTATAATCTGGCAGTTGCCGTCAAGCAACTGAGAAGTCAACCCATTTCGTCGCTTCTTTGAAAAATAAAAAAAAATATTTTGAAAACTGTTATTTTTTGTAACTTCTATACATGAAAACAAAAATAGATGAAAATACACTTGTTTATATTTCTCATGGGTACAGAAGTTGATGAGACAAGGCCAATGTATTGTAAGAATTATATTGGTTGCGTCATGAATTAATTTCTTCAGAATACAAGAGATCACTATATCTTATAAATAGTTATACTCTGGTGGAATATTTACACGCGAATCAAAATTGGTGTCATAAAAACGACACTTACACCTTGTCAACAATGCCACATAAATCATTAACTTAAATGATGTTTGAAAATAAAACCGGTCTATTACATTACCGTATATTATGCCATTATAAAATTTACATACTAATAACACTATTTAGGTAACATTGAAGTGCAATTTTATTACTGTTGATTCCATGCATAGGAAATGAAAATTTATGACATTTTATTTTTGGAGAATTAATTGAATAAAGAGATATCGGTTTAATATCATTATTATAATTCTTATTAAATAAACACGTTTGTATTTTCACATTTTCGGAAAAATGGGGTACTCGTTTTTAATGTGATCAATAAAAAATATGAATGCAGTGATGAATCACAAGTAAAAACACGTCATATTTTGCACATTTTGGTCAGATTTATTCGGCAAAATTTTGAGATAACGTCATCAATTTTTTGGAGGGGATAAGCAAATATATTTTGATTAAAAATTTATAACGCTTATTATAACTTTAAAACATCTGCATTCGATTTTACAGATTCAAAATTAAATTGTAAAATGTTGTTTTATCATTTTTTTTTTCTTCAAAAATCTGGATGTTTCGACTAAAAATTCAACACGGAGTCATAAACTACATGTGTACGACTATATTATTTTATACAATTTAAAACCCACTACTATAGTAAGTGTTTATTTTTTTACCCTACGGGCTTAAAAGATTCTTGACACTACAATTTTTTTCCTAGTTAACAAAAACCAAATAACTTATTTTTTTTCCTTTACCCCATCCCCCCTTGCCCCAGCCTTACTCTTGTCCTCTCCACTTCTTTCATCCATTCCACCCCTCTTCCGTCTTCATTCAATATCTCTGTCACACTCTCCTCTCTTTCTTTGCTCTCCTCACAGTCATGCAGCATGTGCTCTATCGTTTCTCGCCCTTCTCCACACATCCTACACATTCTCTCACCTTCGCTTACCCAAAACTTATTATTTCTTTCTTCATTTCCACACCTAAATCTCGCAATTATTTTTTTTTCTTTCGTGCTTTCTCTGTCTAGGTACTTTGGTATTGTTTCTGTTATTATCTTTCTATAGTCTGCATTGTACCTAAATTTACTTACACTCGCTCTTCTCTCTTGTTTATCTATGTCTCTGTCACGCATATACAACTCTTTTCTTATACTCACCCCCATTTCTCTCTTTCTCTCTATTTCCATCCATGCGTATCCCAGTCTTTCATAATATCCTTGTCTACCCTTGTGATGTTCTTTCCCTGCTTTCTTTTTTTTTTCCTTCTAGCATTCATATAATATCCTACATTCCTCTCTTTCTTTCAACCTTTCATCATACTTTACAGCTCTTTTCCCAGTGTATACTCTTAGTTTCTCTCGTTTACATTCTTCTCTTACTATATAGCCTGGCGTCTCTTTCCGTAGCCCTAACATCCACCTCAAATATTTTTCTTGTACTGCTTCAATCTCTGCATATTTCTTCCATCCCCATATCTCCACTCCATACATTAATACACTCCTAACTAAACTATCAAACATTTTCATCCTTCTTCTTACGTCATGTCCAAATATTCTCTCACCTATACTCCACACCATTCCCATTTTCTGCATTGCTTTCACCCTTCTTTCTCTTATGTGTGCTTTTACCGTGTTAGTTGTTGTAAACTTAAGTCCTAAATATTTAAACTCCTTTACTGTGTCTATGATTCGATTTTCCCAACGCCACACTTTTTCCTCCCCTTTTCTCCCTTTTTTTCTAAACACCATCATTTTTGTTTTTTCTACATTTACCTCCAGTTTCTTTCTTTTAAAGTATCTTTGCAGATTTCTTTTCATCTCATTCATTCCACATTCATCCTTCGCCAATATTACCAAATCATCTGCAAATGCCAAACACCATACCTTTTCTCTCCCCACCACAATTCCTCCCGCTAACCCCTCTAAACATTTCCCCGATATCGCTTATGTAACAAGCAAACAGACTGGGACTTAATGGGCATCCTTGTCTCAATCCTTTCGTCGTCCAAAACATTTCACTTTCTATTCCTCCCACTCTCACACTAGTCACGATCTCTCTATAAATCTCTCTTGCTGTTACAATTAACTTTTCACTCAGTCCTCTTCTTTCCATGCATTCCCACAAACACTCTCTGTCCACCGTATCAAACGCGGCTTTTAGGTCTACAAACAGTGCATATACCCGACCTCCTTCATTTAGCAACTTTTTTTCTATTACATCATGCAGGATATATACATTGTTCATAACCCCTCAACCTCTTCTAAATCCCGCTTGACTTTCCGGTAATATAGTCTTTTCGTTCATCTCTGTCACCAACCTTTCATTTAACACCATTGCGTACAGTTTATATGCCGTATTTAGGAGAGTTATTCCCCGATAATTCTCTACTTTTTCTTTACTACCCTTTTTATTAATTGGGCATATTTGTCCTACTCGGCATTCCCTGGGAAAACCTTTACCCGTCCACACATCATTCATTAACTCGCTCAATCTTTCAATCATCCCATCCGTCCCAAATATCCACACTTCGTTTACCAACCCATCCCTCCCCGGTGCTTTTCCTCTTTTCAGTCTTCCTACTTGTTTTCCTACTTCCTCTACTCGAATCTCCGCCTTCCTTTCTCTACCACTAATCCCGGTTTTACTATCTTGCACTACAATTCTCTCTTCCTTTCCATTCAACAGTTCCATAAAATGTTTCTTCCACTGTATTATAAGTATGTCTTCACTAATCGTGATTTTGTTCTCCCGTTCTTTATTTATATACTGCATGCCTTTTGCTCAGTTCTTATGGCTTTAATTTTTTCTTCTTCTTCTTGCTGTATCTCTTCTTTATTTTCTTTGCATTGTTTTCTATAATTATTTTTTGCTTGCCGGTACTCTTCTTTTATACCTTTCCCCTTTTTCCACCTTTGTAGATATTTCCTTGCTTCTATTTTTAAATCTCTGCATCTGCTATCCCACCATCTGTTTCTCTTTTCTGAATTTCTCGTTACAATTTCTTTTCTTATGGCTGCTTTTTCAATTTCTCTTTTTAATTCTTCCATTTTATTTTCAGTTCCTTTTTCTTTAAATTCCACTTCCAACATTTTTTTTAATAATGCTCAATTCCTTTTTCATTCCATACCCATATCTTCTTCTCTTTTCCTACTTCATTCCTTAAGCATGCGCTCCCTCTACTTATGGCCCTCACTTTTACTTCTAGTGGCATGTGATCGGAGTCCACTCTTTCTCCTATCTTAAGTGTTTCTATCTCTTCTTCTGCTGATTCGTTTACTATTACGTAATCTATTACCGATTTCCCTCTTTTACCTATCCAGATAAATTCCCCCTCCTCGTCCCCTTCCTTCACTCCATTCAAGACTTCCCAACCTCTTTCTTCAATTAATTCCCATAGCAATTTTTCGTCTTTGTTTTCTACTCTATCTTTCGATTTTCGTGTGTTTTCCCCTTTTTCTTCCCTGCTTTTGTTCCCTATTCTGGCATTAAAGTCCCCTCCTAACAGTAGAAATTCTTCTTCAGACTCTTCGATTTTTTCTAGTATTTCTTGTTTCGTATTTCTCATTCCTCTACTATATATTGTGCAGATTCTCCATCTTTTTTTATTTACAGTCAGTTTTCTTTCAACTATGCCTTCCATTTCTATTTCCCCCTCTTCTATTTCTTTTATATCTTTCTTCACTCCTATTATGATTCCACCTTTTGCTCTACCCTTGCCTTTTTCTTTTTTTGCCCCTTGCAATTTCCACTGAAATTCATTTGGCAACACGTCTTTCAGTTTGTTCCAGTCTCTCTCTAGTATCCATGTTTCTGTTAGTCCCACAAAATCAAAATTTTTTACGTAGTTCCAAAATAAATTATCTTTCTTTTTCAAACCCGCAATATTCCAAAAGAGTAATTTTAAACCACGTTTATCTTCCCCATTCTTCTTTCCCATTCCAATATTATGTATAAAATCTACATTCTTAAATCTAAAGTCTTTATTTGTCCCATCATTATTACCCCTCCCCTTTGTGTTTCTTTCTTGGGTTAGTGCTGACTTGATTTGAGAAATTTTCCTTTATTTTCATTCCATGTATACATTTTGTCCCTTACTTCCAGCTCCTTATATCCCACCCTTGTTGTGTATCCTTTTTTTCTTTCCTCTTTAGCTATCTCCCTAATTCCGTTTTGAATTTTTTGCTCTTGTACTGTCCAATCATTATCAATATATATTCTCTTTCCTCTCAGTTTATTTTTATTCTTCATCACCTCTTGTTTTTCCTCCCAAAGCGTCTTAACCAGTATTTTCTTGATTTCCTCTTTCCCTATAATTATTGTTTCCAACACTTTTACTTCTACCTCAATTTCTTTTTTCAAAAATTCCTCTACTTCTTTTGCATCTGTTTTTTTCCCTTATTTCCATACCCGCAATTATGAAATTGTTTCTTCTTTCTTGCCTCTCTTTTTTTTTCCAACTTCTGCTCTAAATTATTGATTCTTTCTTCGAAGCTTCTCTCCTTTTCTTTCCATTCTTCTCTTTCTCTTTCCAGTATTCCATTTATTGTCTGTAATTCTTTTTTTACCCCTCTATTTTCTTCTCTCAGTTGTTTCATTTCTTCTATTAGTTGCTTCATCATTTCCATCAACTGCTCTTGTCCTTCCTTTATTTGTTCTTTTTCTTCCATTTTCAATGTTTTTGTTTGCTCTTTGCGCGGCGAATCGTCTTCTCTCGTGCGGCGCACGCCTCTGCTGTCGCTTCCCTCACTCTCAGCTCTTTCTCGCCAGGCCGCAAAAACGTCACCAATCTTATCACTCTCAATCGTTGTCTGATTCGACATAACCTTGCTGTTTTTCTTGTCTCACCAGTTGCACTCGCGTTCTTTTTTTTACGAACTTAAGGGGTAACAAATGTGATTGCGTGATAGTAAAAGCAGCATCTCTTGTGCTGCTTTTACTATCACGCAATCACATTTGTTACCCCTGAAAGTCACTGTTTACTATGACTTTAGCTTCAGCTGTTGCTAACAATGTGCACTCGCTCGCTGCTCAATCAAGAAGACTAAAAACCCACTAACAACTATTTACAATTTTGAAGTAACGTGATCACATTATTGGTGGGAGTGATTAGACAAATATTGGATAGCGTTTTACCATCTACATGATATTAATAATATAAACACAAAATTTTACAACAATTGACCCAGCACTTTTAGAGAAAAAAATCCGGGACGGCAGACAGACGGACAGACAGACGGAAACGGGGACCTATTTCTTCGTACTGTAAAAGTAGATAGTCAGCCGACGGACACGATTACAATACTTTCTTTGTTTACGCTCGGGAAGTAAAAACGATAAATGAATAAATAAGGAAATGGATAAAACACGTAACAAGAAAAACAATGATAATGTAATACAGACGCAAAGGACGATCAAACAAATTATAATCAGTATGACAACTGGAAATATACGAAGTACAAAAGGAAAAGACGAAATTAAAAAAAAGGTAGAGGAAACGACAGAACAAATCCAAAAGGAACCGGAATGACAATAATACATAAAGACTATTAAAGGACATAATTAGAGAAGAGTATATAAAAAGAGAATATTAAAGACAAAAATAAAGATATTTGACAAAGAACACTGGACAATGATAATAGCTTATGGCGAAAACGAAAAACAACAAAAGAAATGAAAAATCTTGGAACAGAAGAAAAATCTAACGAATTCAAAACTAGCTTGATGGATGCTAAAAGAAAGAGATATGTAAATAGAAACATAACAAACAAAACAATAAGAGAAATAGAATTGCTTGCTTTATTATCGACCGCCCCTGAATTCTATTCAAATCTGTATCTTTTGTACAGATAGCGCGATAAATCTCGCCAGCTCAACTAGGAACCGCGCACTCCGCTTCTGCCATGCGTTTCGGTGTTATTTAACCTCAATTCCATTTTAAATGTTCAATTTCTATGAGTCTGATATTAACAACAACTGAACAAATGTTAGGGTTTCAAAAAGAACAATAAACAACATTTAAATTAGCCATAGAATCTTGTGAAATTTTAAACAGCAAATAATTCTTATGTGAGATTAAAATTGGACATCAGATAATTTATACGATGGAAACAGTCATCAACAAAACATTTACATAAAAAACAAACAAGCAAAGATGAAAACAACAGATCTGGTGCGAAATAAAACTTGTGCAGATAAATTACCTTAGGTTAAAACTGCAGAGCATGGAAATTTACGTTCAATTAAAATTATACAACAAAGAAAATTACTGACGTTAAAATTGTGAGATATATAAATATTGTATGAGGTGAAAAATTGCAAAGCTAACAAAATTTACATGAGATTAATATTTGCCATACTTTATCAACGATTCAAACAAAGAATTTAAATTAACTTTTAGAGTTTATCGTGAACTGGTTACCCCAACAAAACACATAATAAATAAACACAAAAAATATCCAGTCAGCGGTGCGAGGAAATGTCTCCGTGATATAATCAATCTTTAACGCTGCGAGGAAATATCTCGGTGACGTAATTAATCTTTAACTTTGCGAGTAAATGCCTCGGTGATGTAATTAATCTTTAACGTTGCAAGGAAATACTTCGATGATGTAATGATGATAATGACGCTAATAACGATGATAACTGCCTAAGGGAATAAATTATTTTAACCCTTGCCAGTTAGCGATATAATGAATTTTGTTAATTTTTAGTTAATGGCCTTGTAATACTCAAATATATATATAATGTAACACTTACGTATTAGCATTCAGAAACTTATTCATAATTAGACAAAGGGTGTTATCCTGACAAAGTGAATTTCATGAAATCTCGTAGTAAGTGTCTGTTAAATTGTGTTAGCACCAGTTAACGATTAAAATCCTAACCTGATCGGTGAATTTACAAACAATAAAACAAATTTACAGCACGTGAAGCGTCGGTCGAAAATTAGCACTTTTTTCGATTAAAAAGCCGCAAAAATTAGCTGCGCTAGGGGAAAACTGTAACGTCATCGTTACGATTAATTTTCGTTAAACAAAGGGTTTCTCCCTTTTATTGGCTACCAAACCAACTAATTTAACTTATCTAACTTACAGCGTCTTTTCACCATGCTCCCACACACATCACCCAATCAAAATCCTCACACTTTCACCCTGCTCTCGTCGTGCCACTATCTTCTACTACTACCCCCTCTCACTAAGAAGCAGAACTACCAACTACCCCCAAGCGCTAACGTGCACATGGTTGCCTATGTTCAACGATTTTTTTGTTTGGATTTTTTTTTCAAATTCAAATTATTCAAATGTGATTTCGCGCCGCTGTTAATTAAATTCATCGCGAAAATTTGATTCAAATTCGGTCACCACAACATTTTATATGAACAAATAATTAAACCGGTATTATTTAGTCATTTTCACATTATTACTAGGAAAACTGTCCATCTAACTTTTTAATTATTATTATTATTACAAACTACGACTTTAATATTTTAATGATTAATTTATTGATTACGTGCATTATTTACACTATGCCTAAACAAAAAAAAAACCGAATTGGTATCAAGAAGCAACATCTGGTAACGTTTAAAATGTGTCATTCGAAAAAAAAAGTAATAATAGATGAGAAAGCTGCAGGTAATGGTCATACTAATTACTCAGTCTATCGCCTTATTGTTGCAACTTTAACTCTATTAAATTATTTTTTACATATATTAACTGTGGTAGGTAGCCAAACAGGTTTTTGGTGGCGAAAACAACTTAACACATTTTAGGCTTTATAAAAAAAAGAGTGGTATATTCCGTACTTGACGTACGATGATTTATTTTATTCATTTAAATATTCTAATTAGAAAATTATATTTAATGAGTTTTTTCCTCTACCTTGAATGACTAGGTACTTTGTATCCTAGGAATCTGATTTTTGTACCGCCCCGTTAAGTTAGAAAATGTGCCTAGAATAAAATTTGTAATTTCCTCCATTAGTTCATCCATATTCTCCATCTTAAGCTTCAAAGGTGAGTTCTTCAGATATCCAAATATCTATAGAAAAGTCAAGAGGAGTGAAATCTGGTGGACGAGCTGGCTGCGGAACATCTATCTGTTCTTCAGATTATTATTTTGCTCATAATAACGTGATAAAACTCAATCAACACAAAATAACGTTCTGCCGTAACCGTAAATTTTACGCATAATCCAATTTCGGTAAAAAGAGCAATGAAACCAGAACCCGTCTGAACACATGTAACACGCTCAAATTATCATCTGCACCAGTTTTATCCGACAACCCGTAGACACTTGATTTAGCCAATTTTAAAAATACCTGTTGGTATTATTTTTACATTAAGTTCGAGAAAAAAAATGAATAATAATTAATGTCGATTTACATAATCTCAATATTTCGTCATGTCGTGAATAAATCCACGTTCTTGCGAACATTCCGCCACTCCATCCGCATCTACAGGTTCTAAATTGTGTAAAACATCAATAAATGTAGTAATCTCTCAAATCTCGTTCAGTCGAATCGCAAAAAATGATAATATTCAAGAATCTGATTCTGTGGCTGCTGTCACATTTGTTCTCTTTTCACACACCTCCTAGCCCCACTGCATCCATATTTCGTAAGTTTTTTTATAATTTGACAAGTTCTCTACGCTAAATGTAGCTCCAAATTTTAAAAGGTGCCACCGAAGACAAGCCGATTTCAACCAGTGTTTGATAGAAGCAGCCGGAATTGGTCTGAGAAATTTAGTTATACCTTTTGACAGTGTGGGTCTACCAACTTTGAGAACAGTCCGAGTGGATTCTTTGAACGTCTCTAAGGGGAAAACTGTAGGCTTCGACCAAAATTACGACAATTTAGTGTTCCATGGATTCACGAATGCAACGTTTTTGAGATTCGAGTGAGTAACACGAAATGGTTTTGGTTGTCACTTACAAATTTAATTTTAGTGTGAATTTTGAGAATGAGAGGATCGTGACTGAGACTCTATTCCCGGAAGTGACGATGGATTTTGACTACAATTTCAACGGAAAAATTTTGGAAAACCCGTTTTTTGGGAAAGGGCACGGACTGATTACTTTCAGTGAGTAAAACTAATCACAATTTGAAACCAAACTTGTTTTTTTTTTTTTTGTAGTAAATTTAAGGTTCTCGTTTATTTTCGACTTGGAGCAGTACCAAAATATGGGTCAAAACTACTTCAGGATCGTTAAGAGTAAGCTATCGATGGACACAGATCTGATAAAGTCGCATTTCGATAATTTGTTTGATGGACATGAAGAAATGAAGGATAAGTTTAACGCGGATATAAATGAAAACTGGCGTTCGATTTTTGTGGATGTGAGGCCCAAGTATGAGGAGATTTTTGGGCAAGTGTTTACTGACGTGTTTAGTGGGTTCTTAGAGAGAGTTCCGATTGTGGAGCTTTTCGGCGAGTAAATTGTATTGTTGTGTAGCTACTAGTGTCCAGAGTTTCCCTAAATAAACCATTCTGTTTGCAAATATTTAAATAAATAAATTCCTAATGAACAGATTTACTAATCGCGATTATAAAACAGTTCATTGGAACTTGTTTTCGGAATTAATGAAGACGACTCAAGGAAATCGAAAGATTTTTTTGTGGTGATTTACATGAAGTGGAATTTCGGAACCAGTTACATCCAGATTTATAGTTTAGTAACCTATTTATGTGAACTTCAAAATGAAAGTGGATTATTGAACTACAGATTAAGGAGTATTTTTTCAATTTTCGATGTTATTATTTTTTTTTTTTTTTTTAGATTTTTTTTCATTGTTTTTCCAGTTGTAGATTTGCAATTTTTCTAGTTTTCATATATAATAATTATGATTTCTAAAATTTTTCATTTTTTCAATTTTATGATTTTACATTTTTTCCATTTATCAGTTACTGAATTTTTTCATTGTTTCATTTTATTTAATTTTTCAACGTTACAGTTTTCTACTTTACAATTTTGACGATTTTCAATTCTTAGTATGTGCTTAACTTCTTTATGTTTATACATTGAATTCGACTTTTAGCACGTTCAAATTACAAGCATCAGGGGTTAAAACAAAATGAAATTTGGTTGAGGAAAGGACACGAAACAGTCTTAAAATATCTTCATGGTTTCACAGCATCCAGTTTTTACAATCTCAAAGTTAAATTATAAAATATTGTTATACAATGTTGACTTTTTTTTCAAAAATCTGGGTGCTAAAAGTAAAAAGTCAACACGGATTCATAAATCACACGTGCAGGACCATGTTACTTTATAAAATTTAAAGGAATATTGTTGGGTAGAATTCTAAGATGATAATAATTTTTTGGGAAGGCCTTAAACGAACAAATTTTGATTAACCATTTATCATCTTTCCTATAATCATAAAACGTTTGAAATATTTTTCCCAAAAATCTCGATATCTAGGGGAAAAACTCAACACGGAATCTAAATTACACATACATGGAGTATGTAATTCTATAAAATTTAATTTAATGTGACGTCATCATTTTTCAGAGGTTATAACCTAAAAAATTTTAATTAACGATTTACCATGCTATAAAATTTTGATTTTTTTTTTCAAAAATCTGGATGTCTAGCGAGAAAACTCGACACGGATTAATGAAACACACATGCAGAAGAAGATGGCATTTTAATGAGATTTTAGTAATAAAGACTCGACCAGCACCAGCAACATAACCTAATAAAATATTTTGCGCAGTGTGTGCATTTATTCCGTTTAAATTGACCTACAATAATCGTCATATTGGATAAAATAATTCAATTTGAGTCGTTTAGTGATTCCTAGCTTGACGGGCTTCCAGGACATGTCACAATGCTGCCGATGGGGTTTTGACGAAGACCAGCTGCTCGAAATCTTCATTTCGGGCTTTTTGGATTCGGCCTGAGTGTAGTTCGAGATAGCTCGTTTGACGTGGTCGCGCACTATGACGAATGAATGGATCAATTCATCAAATTATTGATAACTTTCTCAAAATTTTTACGGTACCTATCAAAATTGATATATTTATCCCCGCTATAAAGTCGATGATCTGCTAAAACTCGATACACACATTTTTTTATTATTCGCTACCAAACTATTTATTTTTTTTATATATATAAAAGTCTCTCCCCTACCACCTTGTAGGGGTGTACACCCCTACATACGTTCCACCCCACTATTTTGATTCTGGTAGTGGTTGTAGTTGATCGGATTGTTGCCAATAGTTAGGTACCGTCAGTACAATACAGTCATGGAAAAGCATACAATAGAGACTAATGTTAAGTAGGTTCGGCCTTGTCTTTCGTTACTATAGTTTCGTCCCCACTCACCAGATCATACAATCAAAAGAATACTTTCCCTTGACACTCTAGATCACCACAGGAAACACCACAATTTTACTGTGCATTTTATTACCTGCATTGTGTATTGTGTGCTGTGGTCTGTTTTATTTTATTTTATATTTGACAACTGACAAGTGTAAGTATACAAATTCGTTTTTACTTTGTTATATTTATTGCTTGTAGGATCATTATATCACATTTTTCTAGAAAAAAGAATGTTTCCACATCCGAAGCAGGACCTAGATAGGTTTATGGCGTGGGTTAAAGCCACGAATAGGCCAAAATTTGCGGTATTAACCAGTGACCAAGTTTATCGAAGAGAGTACGTTTGCTGCAGTACCAACGATTTTGCCTTTTCAAGGTAAAAACAAAGTCACTATAAGAGCAAATTTTAAAATATTTGTGCTTACAGATGATACTGTACTTACAACATCTCATCTTCCTGACCCCAATAAACGAAGAATGTCCACATTGCCCTCCCTTGCACTGGGCCTTCACAATTGCAATGTGTTCCAAAAATCGGTAAGAGATTGTAATGTTTGATACTACATTTTCGTAATTCTAAAAGCAATATTTTGAAACGATTACATATAAAAGACCTGTTTACCCTGAAAAAGATTTTCGTAGAAGTATTTTTCAGAGATATGGTGCTGGTTGCCTATTCGTTGCTATAAAACACACTGTACGTCTTTGTAATGATCCCTATACCGATACCGTGTATAAAAGGACAACAATGACAATGTTATTCCATTTGCTTAGCATGTTCTAAAAATTCTTTTTGTTAAAATTCATTAAAAAAATCATTTAATATTAATATATATGTATGTACAAGGTAATTAATTTATCGGTTAAGACTGGAAAAGTTTAAATAGGCAACACATGTTACTTTCCATAAACGACTTCGTCTTAAATTTTTTATACCTAAATAATAAATGACGTGTAGATGGCAATGACTGCACCAAAATTATGAAAAACTAATTCTAGCAGTCACACATTAAGAGGCAAAAAATGAAAGTTCGTTATGGTTCACAGGTCCTTAGGTGCAGTGTGTCTTCGTTCATCTCATGGATTCTGTCTATGACAGCGGTAATGGAGAATTTGGAGAATGCGGTGGTGGTGTCATACTTGTTGGCTAGAAGGAACACTTTTCCCAGCAACCTTTTACAAATTTTTATTTTAATCAAGATACTTTAGAGAATTTTTCGGGTCAGTTAAGACAATATCGAGTACGAACGAGGATTCGTGCCATTTTATAAATCATTGGTGATGAAGAATTTTTGCTTCTATCATTCTCGTGGATCTAATTCTGAACAAGAAGAGGACTGATTTGTGGTCACAATTAAGGAGTTTCTTGGTCTTCAAACAACTCGAACGTATAGCGAAGATTAGTGAAAGCCGCCACCAGTTCCTGATACTGTATCAAAGGATACCTAATCTTTACGGCCAGAATGTTGTAGGCTGCATTGGCGGATTTCTAGTCAAAGATATGTCACAACAACACAGTATTTTCAGTCCTATAACTTATTTGTCACTTTAATTTAGCAGATAAAGCTGATGTATTTTGAAAAATTAAGTGTAACTTAGTGTTTAGAATAAAAAGTTTTAGGAATCAGTTATCATAGCAGAATATTTTGCTATTTTTGTTGTTTTTGACTTTTACTTTTTACTTTTGTTGTTATTGTTATATATAGCAGTATTTTCATTTATAAATTCAATGTTACGATTAAATGTATTATCTGTAACATATTCAATATTTTTTTAACATGTTTGTGTCTTTTTATATGTTGATTTCAAAACTCATTTTGGCGTTTTGAAACTATAATTTTCCACAAACGTTTACGACCTTCATGTGACAATAAAAACCGTTGCTTTTATTTCTTTGTAACTATTATCCATTCACGATCTTTATATAGTAAAGTAGGCTTTGATATTTTTTTTAAGTTGGATAAACTGATTTATATTATACAAAATTCTTAAGTCAGTGGGTTATAAACACAGGGAAGTAAATGGTCTCAAAATTCTATGTAAACAAAAACATGTCGTTGCAGCCAAAATTACTTTTTTGAGAACATATTTACAGTTTCTAAATTCTTGTGAAAATTTGATTTTCGTGTATTTGGATGAAACATGGATCTATCAAAATGGTTCGTCCATTCGTCGCTGGGTGCACGATACTGATCTAAAAAGCAATCCCACCAAAATTAAAAGTGAAGGATCAAGGTTTACTATTCTCCACGCGGGTTGTTCGACGGGGTTCTTGGATGGTTGTAACAATTTTTTAAATTCAAAAAATAACGATAGAGACTATCATAAAACGATGGACGAGACAATTTTTCAAAATTGGGTGGTTAATCAGCTCATTCCTGCTTTGGCAAAGTTGAACCAAAAATGTGTGGTGGTTTTAGACAATGTACCGTATCATTAGGTTCAGTTGGATAAACCACCCAGTTTTTCTAGTAAAAAATGTGAAATGCAGGAATGGCTCTTTAAACATAGTATTGAATTTGACAAAAAAATTTCGAAGTAACAGTTGTGGGATGTAATTAAACCCTTCAGAAACAATAGAAAAAAAATATATTTGGTAGACGAGACATTAAGAGAAAGTGGTCATGAAGTTCTTAGATTACCTCCGTATTGTCAATATAATCCAATTGAAATGGCGTGGGGATTTTGTAAGAACTATTACAACAAGCATATAAATTCTCAAGCTTCATTAAAAAATAGGGTGGAGAATTTATGGCTTGAGGCGCTTTCTAAATGTACTCCAAGCATGTGGCAAAATTTTTGTTAACATTGTGAAAAACTTATTTCGGCAGATTGGGAAAAAATATGGGAAATCTTTTGTACGAATCTATACCTCCTTTCATTATTTCGCTAGGTGAATCTGATTCACAATCTAAATTTGAAAATGACGGTGACGATTTTCATAGCGAAATAATGGAAATGGGGTGAATTGTAGCTTGTCGAAAGGTGATCTTTTTACACAGCTTTCGTTCCAAATTTACCAAGGTAGTATGTGAAAAACTACCTGACGGACAACAAAAGAAGTATAATTTTAGTTAGATCATCCACTTTGCACCAAATTTGAAGCATTTTCATTTTTTTTTTGTAATTCTTCATGGACCTGGAGAAGGCGTATAGTAACGTTCTTGTTAATAAGCGTTTGGAAGTACTTAGTAAAAGCAAATAAAAGAGCACTTAGGTAAGCATTAGTAATAGCTATATAGATAAATCATTCAATTTAAGGCCGGAAAAATGTTTCAGAAGAGCTAAACCCATCAAAGCACTAGAGCAAGTTTGTTGTCTTTTACCAACCCTTTTAGTAATCTTAGAAAAGTGAAAAAAAGAAGTTGGAAAATCTGGAAATAGGCTGTTCACAAAGGTCGAAATTTTCATTTCTAAGAAGAGTGGGCGAGCAGAACGAACTGATGATTGAGAATTAAAGATGAGATGCTAAATGTGGCATGCGACAATAGTCGTATGTAGAACCCCGATTCATATAAAAACAATGTTTAAGTGAAATTTTAGTGTTTGTTCCTTGCATATGAAATAAACACTTACAGAAATCCGAATAACTGTTTTAAATAGCGTAAAGTTTTATGCTTTCTAAGAAATGGATACCGTTAACTTGGTAATTGCTACTGAAAACTGGAAGTATCGGCAACAATGTTTATATTTCTGGCATATTTTTTAACCTTTAATTTAATAAAACATAACCTAACGAAAAAAGGGAATTTTTATTCTTCTGCATCGAATACCAACAAACTCACTAGATTTTCATGGCCGACCCTAATATATATAAAGATCGTGAAGGGATAATAATCACTAAGTTTGAAAATTGTACGAGTAGATTAGATGTTGTTTACAAAAATGTGTTTTGTCAAAACAGATAGGGGTTTTGTTTGATTTATCTAACATCTCCCTATTTATCTGCTCGGACCAGAGGCGGTACTAAGTCAATTCCAATAGGGACAATCGTCTCCCATCAGAAAAAAAATAGGTAAATAATACAGCAGCTAAGCAAAAGAGAAAACAGTACTTTTTGTATTTATACTTTTTTTTTCGTAGTATCAAGGTGTTTTATAATTTTTTTTTAATTATTGTCATTATTTTCTTGTAATCGTATTACCCGACACTGAGTTTGATAACACTCTACATAACAAATCAATCTGCCTCCGTATCTTCGTTGTGTAATACATACAAAACAAGTACCTTCATTATCTTGTTTATTTTTATACCATGCACGATAAGAAAAAAATAAAAACAAGCAAGACAGTTTTCAAGAATTGAACCATGGGTGCGTATCCTGTAGAACTGTACATCTACGAACTGTCGCCAGAGTCCCAAATTTGGTGTAGGGACCAATTCCTGCAAGTGTTATCAGCAGAAGAGGGTAGGTTGTGCTACAACACTACAAAAAACGAACGCTAATAATTTATTATTGTTTTAAAGAACTTCTACATACCAGCATTGTGGTTCACGGGACTGAATATAGTTACGGCGAAAACGGAATAGAAGAGCAAGAACCAGTAAGACTCTGACCACCCTTTGACTAGTAGGTAATTATTTTCGTTATAATTTTCAGAAACTGCGCCCGCAGTGCGAAGACGAAGATTTTGAAGAAGCAGTCACAAGCATTAAAATACTCGGAAGAACAAAATTTACAAAATCCGAAGTAGAGGAGCTTGTGGCGAAATTGAGGAAAGACAGCACTTGGTTGTAAGTTCGTTGCAATAAATTGCATTTGATTTCAGTTTGATTTTTGGGTTTGTTTCTAGTTCATATAAGTTTAACCCCGTCGAACACAACTGCCACCACTTTTCACAAATGTTTATTAAACTCTTGTGCGGAGAAAAAGTGGTTTTGCCACTGGAAGTTGACGAATTCAACAAACAACTTTTGTCTTATCGGGATTCGTGGATTGACGAGTTTTATGAAGAGGAAAATTTGCCTCGTAATTCATAGAAGATATTGTGGATGAGGTGGGTTTAGGAATCTATTTGAATACAGTTTTTGTTTTGAAAGTGTACCTATTTGTGGTGAAAAATGTCAGATGGTGTGGGGTATGCAACCATCAATACATCGCAGTTGCTACTAAATGTTTTTAATAAAATTTTAAAGTACAGGGATATCTGTCTTGCGTGTTTTGATTTATAACCTTTACTATGTGTGTATGTATATAATAATAAACGCATACATAGTAAATTTGGCATTAAATTGGATTGGATTTGTTAAAAAATTCGTGTATCTGCAACTCACTAAACACTGTTGTACTGCAAGAAACATAATCAAACTAAGTTTCTTTCCAGTCAGTGGCGGCTCGGAAGTGAAAGTTAAAATAGGGTACACAATTTAAATGGGTTATAAAATAGTATATTAAAGAACGAGTTTCATAAGGCAAATATTGAGGCACGAATCCAAGTTTATAGAACGAGCGGCGAAGCCGCGAGTTATATAAAGGATGAGTGCCTCAATCGCCTTATGAACGAGTTATTTATACTATTTTTTCTACCGCACACGTTTTTTTCCCAAAATTTAATTGAAATTTGCATTTTTTTTAAATCTGGGGACTTTTGTCGTGGTTGGTGATGGGTCGGTCTGACACTAACCACGAAATATTTGAGGTTCGAATTTTCACAACAACAATTGTAATTCGAATCAATTCGAGTTTTTGTAATTTAAAATTGGTTAAAATGTCTTGCGAAGAAGTTACGCTTCCGGAAACATGAGAAATTTTAAGTTTAGATTTGCCACTGACATTCACCTGACATTTCTCGTCATTGCTACCAATCTTACCGATCTAAATTACACCAGATCTATTAAAGAACGCCTTTCCGCTATTAACGAACTGCTGTGACGTCATTTGCGTGCGTTAATAGCTCTATTAGAAAACCAAAAAACGTGGGCGGTAGAAAAATATATTATTTTAGACCTTCTAGACTTTTAGAACGTTATTTCTACCCAAAAAGCTTTGAAACAGGCACTTTCGTGAGGAGTCTGTCAAAAATGGTGGCAAATATTATTCCAAAAGCCTCGTCATACCCAGACTTAACATCACCATAAACCTCGAGGGCATTTTCCTTCAACATCTTCTTGAAACGATCAGCAGCTTCCTCATCACCGTCAAAAAGATTCTTCAAATCAAAGTCAATACTTCTTGGCTGCACACTTAATTGTTGATTAATAATATTAAAATATGTTTTACCCTTGTTCTCATATTCTCCTAACTGATAACTGACCTCAAAGTGAGAGTCCTCTGGAATAATTGCAAATTAGTAGTAAACCAGCTTAATTATTATCAAACTTACGCAGAACAGCCCAGCCAGTTCCATTTCCATAAACAGAAACCAAAAAAATTTGACCATGTAGTTCATAGTGGAAGTCTAGTCGAAAATGTGGGACGATGCAATCTAGTTTGAGTGTATTTTTGTCAAAATTAAATCTACAAACATTGTTATTTATCAAAAAATTATGATATTGAAACTACGTCTACACTTACTCTACTTTTGCACATTTCGTTTCGTTAAAACCGGATAGTGTCATATTTTTGAAAATTTGTAGAGCTGATGTTACTCGATGTCCAGCAGCTATAGTCAGCTCCGGTATTACCAAGGACTCAAGATTTAATAAACCTACTCCTCTAAACGGATGATTCATCTGTCTTATCGCGTTTTCGACGGCTTTGGTCAAACATTGTTGGAAATCGGGCTGTTTTCGGTTACATTTTATGAAAGTAGGGGCTGAAATGTTTATTAAAAATGCAAATAATGAAAATAGTGGTAATGACTTACGTAGATTAGCACCGAAGCTGGACGATAGTAAAGCTGCACAGACCACTACTAGAAAGTATTTCATTTTGTCTACAATGCCTTGAGAGGTTTTCGTTTGCTTATATAGACCCCTTATTAAAGAGGAATTTGCAATTAAACTCAAAAACAAGTAACTGATTAGTGATTACCTTCTATGTAATCATTTTCACCTTAATATAACGGGATTAGAAAAACTGGATGGACTTATTAAAATTGTTTATTACTTTGGAAAAAATAACAACGTTTTGTTACGAATAATGAGTTCAAACTTACTTTACAACTTCAGATAAATAGTTCATTATTTTTTTTTGTGTCGTACTGTTAGAAATACCATCTATAATTATACGAAAATTATGAGGGTCAAAGCGATAAAAACGTTTTATACATATTTATTAGGTTAGAAACTATCCCGGCTCCTCCACCATCTTAAAAAATCTAGAAAGGTCACGCATTATTTTAATGATTTGCAAAGCAACATTTAAAATTCTTTTATCATTATTTTTTAAAAGTCGCGATACTGGAAAAAACACCAAATTTTCTCGCTTTCGATTTTCAAGGTCTAGCTTGTTACATTCTGATTTTCAGGTATAATTTGTCTGCTTTCAATACTTTTTCTGGTTTCAAATTTATACATACGAGTACTTTCAGTAATATTTACAGAGTCCAGAAATAGAAAACCACATGTATTTTTGGGCTCTCTTTGGTCATTTGATGTCCTTTATGCATATGTTTTAATTGGCCTGATTAAGAACTAAAAAGCCATTTTGGGGTATCTAAAAACACTGTTTATTTGACTGTTTTTGAGGCAGTTTTGGTTAATTTTGGATGACCTTCAACCATTTTTTGTGATCTGTGTCTTTAGACCTTTTGACTTTGATTTCCCTAATTCAGTAGTTCTTAAAATATTTTGACCTCTTGATCTATTGATATTTCCGTAGTTTTTAAAGACTTTAACCTTCTGACATAATCTTTTGACATTTTAATCTTTTGATCTTTTGATATTTCAGTAGTTCAACTATTTTAATCTTTTGACTTTTTGACTATTTGATCTTTTGAACTTTTGACTATCATTTTGATACTTTGGTGATTTTGAAAATATTTTGATTTTTGATCTTTTGGTATTTTGTTTTATTCATTTTTTGACTTTTTTCCTTTTGATGTTTTGACTCTTTGATGTTCCAGTATCTTAAAGTATTTTGATCTTTTTATATTTCAGTAGTTCTTAAAATGTTTTCACCTTTTGTCCCTTTGACTTTTGATATGTAGACCTTTTGACTTTTTAATGTTCCAGTAGCTCTTAAAATATTTGATCTTTTGACATTTTGAACTTCTGGTATTCTTTTTTTGGTTTTGAAACCTTCTGATCTTTTCATATTTTAGTAGTTCTTAAAATATTTTGACATTTATATCTGTTCACATTTTGACCTTTTGATATTTAAGTAGTTTTTAATATGTTTTGAATTTTTGATCTTTTGAACTTTTGAAGTTTAGACCTTTCGTTCTTTTAATCTTTTAACCTTTTTATATTTCAGTACTTCTTAAAACGTTTTGACCTTTTGTCCCTTTGACCTTCCAAACAATTGATATTTAGACCTTGTGACTTTTTGATATTTTAGTAGTTCTTAAAATATTTGACCTTTTGACATTCTGACCTTTCGAAATTTGAGCAGTTTTTAATGTTTTTTATTTTTGATCTTTTGATCTTTTGAAGTTTAGACCTTTCGGCCCTTTAATCTTTCGACTTTTTTACATTTTAGCAGTTCATAAAGCGTTTTGACCTTTTGTCCCTCTGACCTTTCAACCTTTTGACTTTTTGATATTCCAGTAGTTCTTAAAATATTTGACCTCTGGAGACTTTGAACTTTTGGTATTTGTTTTTGATTTTGAAACCTTCTGATCTTTTAATATTTTAGTACATAAGTTACTAAAATATTTTGATATTTTTATCTTTTGACATATTGACCTTTTCATATTTAAGTAGTCCTTAAAATATTTTGATCTATTAACGTTCTGACCTTTGAAATTTCAGTAGTTTTTAATGTTTTTTATTTTTGATGTTTTGACCTTTTGAAGTTTAGACATTTGGACCTTTTAATCTATCGACCGTTTTATATTTCACTAGTTCTTAAAATGTTTTGACCATTTGTCCCTCTGACTTTACAAACTTTTGATATTTAGACATTTTGACTTTTTGATATTCTATTAGTTCTGAAAATATTTATTTGACCTTTTCACATTTTGAACTTTTGTTTTTTTTTTTTTGGTTTTGAAACATTCTGACCTTTTGACATTTTAGTAGTTTTTAAAATATTATAACATTTTTACCTTTTGACATTTTGACCTTTTGATATTTAAGTAGTTCTTAAAATATTTTGACCCTTGAACATTCTGACTTTTCGAAATTTCAGTAGTTTTTAATACGTTTTCTATTTTTGACTTGTAGAGACTTTTCGACTGTTTGACATTTGATTTTTGATGTTTTGGTATTTGAGTAGTTCTTAGAGTATTTTGACTTTTTGATCTCTTGATATTTCAGTAAACGTCCTTAAAAGGTTTTGACCTTTTAACCTTTTGAGTTTTTGACTATTTGACTTTTGACATTTTGATATTCCAGTATTTCTTAAAATATTTTTATCTTTGACTTTTTTCCTTTTAGATTTTGTGATATTTTAGTAGTTTTTGAATCTTTAGATTTTTTGTGTTATTCACTTGTTAACCTTTTGACTTTTTGACCTTTTGATAGTTCCGCAATTCTGAAAATATTTTGACTTTTTGGCATCTCGACCTTCTGATATTTCAAATGTTCTAAAAGTATTTTGAACTTTTACTCATTTGACTTTTGACATTTCAGTAGCCCTTAAAATGTTGTTAATTTTTGACATTTTGATATATCAGTAGTTTTTCAAGGTTTTGACTTTTTGATCTTTTGATATTACATTAGATCTTAAAATATTTTGATCTTTGTAGATTTCGTATTTTTGATATTTCAGCATTTCTGAAAATATTTCGAGTTATTGACTTTTTTAATGTTTGACATTTTAAGCTTTTCACGTTTTAATTTTTTAATTGACATTTGATAGTTTGAACTCTAGATCATTGACTTTTTTATCTATAGATTTTTTGATTTTAAAATATGTTGACCTTTCGATCTTTTGGGCTTGTAATATTTCAATAGTTTTTAAAATATTTTTACTTTTTGACATTTTGACCTTGATATTTCAGTGGTTTTGAAAGTATGTATTTTGGTCTTTTGACTTTTTGAATTTTCGACCTTTCGACTATTAGAGACTTTTGATTATTTGACATATTATTTTTTATCTTTTGATATTTTAGTGGCTCTTAGAGGTTTTGACCTTTTAGACATTTTGACTATTTGACCTTTTGACCTTTCAATTTTTTATTAGTTTAGTAGTTCTTAAATATTTTGACTTTTTGACATACTGACCTTTTGATATTTCACCAGTCTTTAAAATGTTGACTCTTGATATTGCAGTAGTTAAAAAATTTTGATGTTTGCACATTTTGTCTTTTCGGCATTTCATTAGCATGCATTAAAAAAAATGCATTTGGTCTTTTGTTTTCAAAAAGAAATGATAAATAAAAAGTAAATAAAATTGAATAAATTCTTCCATAATTTGTGAACGATCGTCTTAAATTTTAAGAAAAGTACAGTGAATTAGAGTTATTTATTGAAATTATGCAATCACACTATACTTTTATTGTATGTATTTATGTATTTGTAGTACAAAAAAGATTATCAATATTTAACAACACAAGAATCCCTTAACCGTCACAACAAACTTCTTCTGAAGGATTTTCAGACAATTTTTTTTGGACAATGAACAATGACAAGTGAAATTTAAGTTTTATCTTGACAGTGATAATAATTGTCTAGAGCTTGGTTTCTTGCTTGCTACATGATCGTGGGTTGTCAAAACTACTTCTAATCAAAAAGATTCGAAACAGGCACTCGTGTCAAAAATCTTTCAAAAATGGTTGCAAACACTTTCCCAAAAGCTGCGTCGTAACCAGAATGAATATCTTTATAAATCTCAAGGGCGTTGTCTTTCAATATCTTCTTAACACGATCAGCCGCTTCTTCATCACCATCGAACAGATTCCTCAAATCAAAATCAATACTCCTTGGCTGTATTTTTAATTGGTGATTAACAATGTTAAAATATTTTTTACCCTTCTTCTCATATTCTCCTAATTGGTAACTGAGCTCAAAGTGAGAATCCTCTACGATAAAATTTTAAACTAAATAGCAATAAACCAATTTAGTTATTACACTTACGCATAACAACCCATCCAGTGTCATTTCCATAAATAGAAACCAACAAAATTTGCCCGTTTAATTCATAACTGAAGTCGAAGCGAAAATGTGGTACAACACAATCCAGTTTTAGCGTATTTTTGTCAAAATCGAATCTGGAAACAGTGCAATTTTTCAAAAAACGTTCATGACACACAACTATACTTACTCCACTTTTGTACATTTAGTTTCGTTAAAGCCGGATAGTGTCATATTTTTTAAAGTTTGTTGGGCTACAAGCACTCGAGACCCGGCAGCTACAGTTAACTCCGGTATTACAAAGGATTCAAGGTTTAATAAACCCACTTCTTTAAACGGATGATCCATTTGTCTTACCGCGTTTTCGACAGCTTTGGTCAAACATTGTTGGAAATCAGCCTGTTTTCGATTACATTTTATGAACACAGATGCTGAAATTTTTTATTTAAGAATAAATATGTAAATGCTGATAAATATAATGATGGTAACTTACGTAGTTTAGCACCGAAGCTGGAGAATATTAAACTTACACAGATCAGGACTAGATAGTGTTTCATTTTTGTTCGCGATGAGGAATGCATTGAGAAGTTTTCGTTTTCTTATATAAACCCCTTGCTATAGAATAATTTGCAATTAATTTCAAAAATGTGTTAATGGCGACCTTTAAAATAATCATTTTCACCTTAATGTAAAAGATTAGAAAAACTGGATGGACTTATTAAATTGTTTACTAGTGTGAAATAAATAACCTAGTTTTGTAACTGATAATTGTGGCAATTTGAGAAGATAAATGAAATTATTGGTAAGCAGTTCAGTGAACAATTAAAATTTAATTTAATTTATATACCACAGGACAAAGGAAACATAATAATAGAAAATTTTGGCAATATTATCACTAACCCACTAAATTATTTACAAATGGAAATAAATTTCTAATTTCCTCAGCCACTCTATATAATTATACCAAAAAAAATACATATATTAAGAAAAAGAAGCCGAAAATTATGCCCCACCCACCCGCCCCGATGCCAATTGTGATGAATTTTTTATTCGTTGTGAAACCAGGGGGCGGAGTTTATTGCAAAATCCATATTTCTGTACAAAGAATTATCAAGTGAAACATGCTTGAGGTATGACCATATTACTGAAAATAGACCATTTTGGGAAAATGTAGGCACTAAATATTCTTATTGTCTCAAAAGTAAAAGGAAATATCCAAAGAAGAAGAAAATAATATACAAAAATAAAACTTGACTTTTTTATAAATTTGTACCGTAAATCGGTAGATCTGGCAACTCTGGTGACGCAGCTCGACATAATTCTAACCTCAATTCACAATTTGTTATTTTAAATATTTGACTGTTGAACGACGACTACGTTTTTTTTGAAATCAAAGTCAAAGATAAACTCCACCCACCCGCCCTCATCTCAATTGTGATTAATTTATTAATTATTGGTCGTCAGACGAAGCGGAGCTTAAGTGCAAAATTTATGCTTCTATAGAAGAAATTACTACGTGAAATATGTGTTAAGCATCGTGTTGCTAAAACAAATACATATATTAAGAAAAAAAAAAAAAAAACGAAAATTATGTACCGCCCACCCGCCTCAATGCCAATTGTGATGCACTTTTTATTCGTTGTGAAATCAGGGGGCGGAGTTTAATGCAAAATCCATATTTCTGTACAAGAAATTACCATTTTAAACATGCTTTAAGTTTTTGTTGTGAAAAGATTACTACGTATATTAAGAAAAAAATCAAAATGTATGCCCCACCCATCGGCCCTATCTCAATTGTGAAGACTTTTTGTATTCGTCGTAAGGCAAGAAGGCGGAACTTAATTGCAAAAATCCTTAATCCTTTACATAGAATACTATGTACATCAAGTAAATGTTAAGGCTAAATTGAGATCGATACGAATGGGTGGGGCTTATCTTTTGCCTTTCTTTTTTGCTTAATATATGTATATATACAGTTTGCGTTGAACAACACTCAAGAATATGTCTCACATAGCAATTTTCCATAGAAAAAAAAGGATTTTGCAATTAAGCTTCTCACCCCGGCTTACGACGAATAAAAAAATCATCAAGATTGAGAGAGGGCGGGTGGGCGGGGCTTACATCTTTTCCTTCTTTCTTAATATAAGTAGTCATCTTTTCACAACAAGAAACTTAAAACATGTTTCAAATGGTAAGTTTTTGTAGGGAAATATGGATTTTGCAATTACGCTCCGCCTATCGGTCTGATAACGAATTAAAACTTGGTCAATATTGAGGTCGGGTCAGATATGGGTGGGGCTTAATCTTGTAATAAATTTTTCATTCGTTGCCAGACCTATGGGCGAAGCATAACTGCAAATCTATAATTCCCTACAAAAATTTACAGTTTTAAACATGTTTTAAGTTTTTCTTGTGAAATGATGACAAAGTATATTAAGAAATAAAAAATATTAGTCCCGCCCACCCGCCCTATCTTAATTGTGATAAATTTTTTATTCGCCGTGAGCCAAGAGGGCGGAGCTTATTTGCAAAATCGTTATTTTTATACAAAAATTTACAATGTAAGACACGTTTCTGACTGTCGTGTTTTTCAAAGAATACTACGTATATTAAGTAAATATTAAGGTCAGATTGAAATCGAGATGAATGGGTGGAGCTTATTTTTAGCTTTTCTTTTTTACTTAATACATATATACAGTTTGCTTTGAACAACACTCAAGAACATGTCTCACATAGCAATTTTCGTAGAAAAAAAAAGGATTTTGCAATTAAGCTCCTCACTCCGGCTTACGACGAATAAAAAAAATCATCAAGATTGAGAGAGAACGGGTGGGTGGGGTTACATTTTGCCCTTCTTTCTTAATATACGTAGTCGACTTTTCACAACAAGAAACTTAAAACATGTTTACAATAGTAAATTTTTATAGAGAATAACGGATTTTGCAATTACGCTCCGCCTCTTGGTCTGCCAACAAATGAAAACTTCATCACTATTGAGGTCGTGGCAGGTGTAGGTGGGGCTTAATCTCATAATGAATTTTACATTCGTTGCCAGACTTAAGGAGGAAGCTTAATTGCAAAATCCTTATTTTTCTACAAAAAATTAGGATTTGAGACATGTTTTTGAGTATCGTGTTATTCAAAAAATACTATCTATAAGTAAATAGATTGAAATCGAGAGGATTGGTGGGGCTTACTTTTTGTGTTTCTTTTACGTAATGTATACAGTTTGCTTTGAACAACACGATTACTCAAGAATATGTTTCACATATCCTTTTTTCATGAAAAATAAGGATTTTGTAATTAAGCTCCGCCCTCGGCTTACGACGAGTAAAAAGAATCATCACGATTGACACAGGGTGGGTGGGCGGGGCTTATATTTTCTCCTTTTCTTCTTAATATACGTAATCATCTTTTCGCAACATGAAACTTAAGACATGTTTATTACGTCAATATTGAGATCGGGTCAGATATGGGTGGCGCTTAATCTCCTAATGAATTTTTGATTCGTTGCCAGACCTATGGGCAGAGAATAACTGCAAATCTATAATTCCTTACAAAAATTTACCATTTTAAACATGTTTTAAGTTTTACTTGTGAAATGATGACAAAGTATATGTATTAAGAAAAAAAAATTAGTACCGCCCATCCGCCCTATCTTAAATGTGATACATTTTTTATTCGCCGTGAGCTTAATTGCAAAATCCTTATTTTTATACAAAAAATTACCATGTAAGACACGTTTTTGCATGTCATGTTTTTTAAAGAATACTACGTACCTATATTAAATAAATATTAATGCCAGATTGAGATCGAGACGAATGGGTGGGGCTTATCTTTTGCCTTTTTCACATAGCAATTTTTCATGGAAAAATAAGGATTTTGCAATTAAGCTCCGCCCCCAAGCTGACGGCGAATAAAAAAATCAGCAGGACTGAGATAGGGTGGGTGGGTGGGGCTAATATTTTGCCCTTTTCTCTTAACATATGCAGTCATCTTTTCACAACAAGAAACTTAAAACATGTTTAAAATGGTAAATTTGTATAGGGAAATATAGTTTTTGCAATTACGCTCCGCCCCTCGGTCTGACAACGAATGAAAAATTCATCACGATCAAGATCGGGACGGATAGGTGAGGCTTCTCTTTTGTTTTTTTTTTTTTTTTTAATTAACACATTTAATTTTCTTTGTATAACATGATTACTTAAGCACACATTTCAGATGGTAATTTCTTGTTGAAAAATAAGGATTTTACAATTAAGCTTCGCCCCTCGGCTCACGACGAATAAAAAAAAAATCATCAGAATTGAGATAGGGCGGGTGGGCGGAGCTGATTTTGTGTCTTTTTTTCTGCTTAATATACATAGCTATCTTTTCACAACAAGACACTTAAAACATGGCTAAAGTGGTTCATTTTTGCAAACAAATATGGATTTTGTAATTATGGGGCGGAGCCTAAATGCAAAATCGATATTTCCTTATACAAATTTTCCATTTTAAACATGTTTTAAGCTTCATGTTGTGAAAAAAAGTCTGCATATATTAAAACAAAAAAGGCAAAATGTGTGCCCACCCACCCGCCCTATCTCTATTGTAATTATTTTTTTTTATTCGCTGTGAATCAAGGGGGCTGAGTTTAACTGCAAAATACTTATTTCTTTAAAAGAAATTGAAAAAATGTTTTTGAGTATCGTGTTGTTCAAAGAAATTAAGAAAAAGGGACAAAATATAAATCTCGCTCACCCACCCAATCCCAATTGTGATGATTTTTTTATTCTTAGAAACTTAAAATACGTTTACAATGTCAAAATTTTGTAAGGAAATATGGATTTTGCAGTTAAAGCTCCGCCTTCTTGGCTCACGACGAATAAAAAAAAAATTACAATTGAGATAGGGCGGGTGGGCGGGGCTACATTTTGCCTTTTTTTTTAATATGTGTAGACTTATTTCAACAACAAGGAACTTAAAACATGTCTAAAATGGTAACTTAACTTTTTTTTAAAGTGGTATTGTAAATCGGTAGATCTGGTAACTTTGGTGACGCAGCTGGACATAATTCTAACCTCAAATTTGTCATTTGTTATTTTAAATATTTTATTGTTGAAGGAAGACTACGTTTCCTACGAAATCAAAGTCAAAGGATAAAAATATACATTATTTTTGTCATAAACCTGGTTAAGGAATCTTTGCTTAACAAATTGTCAAATGTCAATTATGGAATTAATCATGCACATGCGTTTTTCGCTACGTTTCGTTCTACCAAAATGTCAGATTTAACTTGATGAATTTTTTAAATGAACACCCGTTTATACGCATAGCTTGACAAATGTTTGTGCATACAAATCCGTTCTTTATTAATTAGATTAGAAATTATCCCGGCTCCTCCACCATTTGGTGTCATCAAATCTTCAATATTGCTCTCCTACATGGTCTTTATTTTATAAAAAGTTCTACGACTATTAGAGGACAAACTTAATCAGGCTGATCGAAAGGGGATTAGACATGGATTATATTTAATATTAAAATATTGTCCACGACTTACAACATTACTTTCAATACATTTTTTACTTACTGTAGAAACAGTGGAATGTTTGCCGAAATTGTTGATATCATTTCAGAAGTTCAAATACTTAAATCTTTCTTTAAATTTGCACGTTTCTTTATTTGTAGCGCATTTTTATCTTAATGTTTATTTTAAAAACGCGCATTTGGTTTTTATAGGGTGTTTACTAATTTATTCATGAAGTATAACTTTAGACAATAAAAATTTTTATTACATATTGTAAGTATTGTGACAATGTTTAAGTCTAAATATAAATGTAGAGTTATATAAAATATACGATACTGTGTTATAGTTTTCAAAAAAAAACACACACCATAGCGACATATTATTTCTCACCAAAGAGATCAGCAACCGGAACTTTCATCAACAACCCATCCAAAATAAAGGCAAATATCTTCCCATAAGCTTCTTCATAACCAGATTTAACATCATCATAAACGTCTAGTATATTTTCTCTCAATATTTTCTTAAATCGCTCGGCTGCCTCTTCATCGCCATCGAACAAATTGTCTGCATCAATTTCAATCTCTCGGGGTTGCATAAGAAGCTCATTTTTAATAATGTTGTAGTATTTTTTACCCTTTTTTTCATATTCCCCGAACTTGAAAGTAAGCACCAAATGATTATCATCTACAACAACACAGTTAACCGTAGAAAAATCATGAAAACGAACTTACGAAAAATACTCCATCCACTTCCTTTTCCGTATAGAGGTATCAATAAAACTTGCCCGTGCAAATCATAATCAAATTCTATTCGAAAACGTGGTACGACGCAATCTAGTTTTAACGTCTTCGTGTCAACGTCAAACCTAGAAAAAGTTAATTGCTTAATTAATTAGGGTAATTAGTAAATCAACTTACTCGACTTTGGAACAAGTAGTCTCGTTGAAACCTGAGAATTTCAAATTTTTATAGTTTTGTTGTGTAAAGACAATCCGAGATCCAGCAGCTATACTCAAAGATGGAATCTCCAAAGGTTCTATTGCCAACAAATTTACTTCATTGAAGGCGTGATTTAGTTGCCTTATTGCATTTTGAACAGCTGTCGTCAAGCACTCTTGGAAGTCGGTTTGTTTGAGGTCACATTTTATAAAACTGGAGGCTAAAATTATATAGTCAAAAAGCAGAACTTGTTAGATAATAAACACAAACGTAGTTTGACGGCGGAACCGAAATATGTTAAAAAGACACAAACTGTTATTAGAAATACCTTCATATTTTTCCACTGAAGTGTGCTGGCAAAGCCAGTTTGCTCCTATATATATAGGCTACAATTGAGATAAAAATGTAGTCCCAAACCAGTTGTGGATCCTGATAATTTGTTTTTATTGTAAGTTTTACCGGTTCACCTTTAGTCAAAGTCATTTTGTAAATATATCACCCGCTATTAATGATAAAATACTACGTTTTGGAAAGTCTAGTGATTGTTAATAATTATTAAGACCAATGTTAGTATTGTTGTTGAGTCAAGAAATTATTACAACTGGATTATAGAAAATGTATGACAGTGATAGTCGGAAATATTTTTTTCTCTCTTCATAAATCTCTCGTGTCTTTACAGTTATTTAGCGAAGGTTTTGGTCAATGAAGGTTATTAACAAGGCAGTCTTTTTTATTTACACGAGCCGGCGAAGCTAGCGAGTGAAAAAACGCTGAGATTAATATCTGGCCATTAGCCATTAGCTTATTGGTATGTACAATATTTTTTCAATTATCGAAATCCTTAAAATCAAAAAATAAAAATTCAGTTATGCAACCAAATATACAATTTATGTCATTCCATTTCCTCATATTTCAACGTCCAAAACTGACAAATTACAATGCAAATTACAATCAAAACAAAACGATAAATACATTTGTGTTAGATAAGGGTAGAACATTTTTTAAATTGCTGATATATTTAAAAGAGAAAACAAAATTTATTAGAAAAAAATACGATTTCAGTGAACCAATCCTAACATGATGAAGGATTTTGGTCGTTAAAAATTATCACCAAGTTCATGACATTCTGAATGTAAATTCAGACCTATATCTCGGTTCTCATAGAAATTTGTCACTAAATTTTGTACTGAAATATTAATAGGGGTGTTGTTTTTGACAAGTGTATGTTTGGTTGCATATAATTGAGCAATCATGTTTAATTGGACGTTAATGAACCACTTTAAGCATTATTTCTGAAGCGAAATCATTTGTTTATGAACCAATTATCATGGACAAAATAATTTACGGGAATTTTAAAATATTTATATATATATTTTATACATGGGCTTGAGATTGAATTTCCTTATTGTTTCTGTATACATTTATTTTGTATTTCTTCCAGTATTGCTTCTAATTTTTCAACATGGTGTTGCCATTTGTGTATAATACATATCTGTTTTTTATTACTATTCTCCTAATTTCGTCTATCATGTGATTTTAGGCATTTTCATCCTCGATAGAATAGTTTTTGAATTTTACTGAACTGCGGGAAGATTTTATTTCCAAAAATTATCACTGTCATTTGCTAACTATTTTTCAGTAAATTAGTTGCCTACGTTTATTCGATCTTCCTTGTCAACACTTGTAATTATTATGGGTTCTTGTCGATGACGTTAAAAAACTCTTCCATTCCATTTTCTTTTGTCTCATCACTACTTCTATTTTTGGTAACCACCATCCTATCTCTTTTTTTAATCATTTTTTAAATAGTTTCTATATTGTATAGCTTCTTTTCACTAGCTGTTTTATTCTGTTTTTCAAACTTTCATATTTTTCTTGGATCCTGGTTGTGTTTTTCCTCCTTTCGTTTAGAGAGCTCTAGAACTTATTACTTTCCACTTGTAAGAAGAGATCTTTTGGCTAAATATTTTTCTTTTCTTTTCATTCTGTCTGTTGTTCTTAATATTTTATTCACATTTCATATTTAGCAGATAGTAACGTCCGTCGGTCCATTAAAAAATAATTTATACTTCTATTCTTATCTTTTTTATCTGTTTATATGCAAATTTTGCGTCTATTCGTTTTGTCATTTGTTCACCGTCTTTTGTTCTCTCTATTTCTCCTCGAAGTTTTTCGTAGAAATCATTTTTTTCTTTTTCTTAAATTGTTCTTTTATTCAGTGATGCACATCTGTACAGTCATATCTGCCTTTCTTGCTGCGTTACGAATTCCATTATTTCTTCTGTAGTGAAGTTCAATTTTTTAAAACTTGATTTTGATTTTGAGGTTTGAACTTGAAGATTGATCTTGATCTCAAAATTTGATTTTAAATTTTGATCTTGACCTTGACTTTGACGTTGATCCTGACCTTGACCTCAATCTCGAGATCTTATTTTGAAATTCGATCTTCAAATTTGATTTTAAAATTTGATTTTAAAATTTGATTTTAAAATTTGATTTTAAAATTTGGTTTTGAAACTTAATCATGACATTTGTTCTTGAAGTTTGAGCTTGATCTTGCTCTTGGTCTTGACCTTGAACTTGTTCTTTGAAATTTAATTTTGAAGTTTAATTTGAAATTAAAGTTTCGTTTTGATCTTGATTTTGATGCTGAAGTTCCAGCTTACTTTTGAAATTTGCTCCTGGTCTTATGTAGTTAAGTTTAATTTTGAAATGTAATTTTGATTTCAGCTTTTAGGTTTCATCTTGAAATTTGGGCTTGACCTAGATCTCATGCTCGCTCTCGATTTAGATTTTGATCTCGATCTTGATCTTCATCTTGATCTCCATCTTGATCTCAACTTGATCTCGAAATTTGATTTAAAAATTTTGACCTTGACATTGATCTTCAACTAGATCTATCTTGGAATCTTAGTTTGAAATTTAATCATGAAATTTGTTCTCTTCCTTGATCTTGAAATTTATCTTGATCTTGTTCTTGATCTTGAACTTGCTCTAAACCTTGAACTTGTTCTTGACCTTGATCTTGAAGTTTAATTATGACAATTTATCTATTTTATTATTTATCTTGCAGTGTGATACTGAAGTTTATCTTTGAAGCTTGATTTCGATCTTGATTTTGTTACTGAAATTTGATCTTTCTCTTGAATTTCCAGCTTAATTTTAAAGTTTGATCTTGCTCTTCTCTAGTACAGTTTAATTTTGAAATTTAATTTTGATTTTAAAATTTGATTTTGGCTTTTAGCTATGCGCTTGACCTAGATCTCGTGCTCGGTCTGGATTTAGATTTTGATTTGGAAATTTGATTTTAAAATTTTGATCTTGACCTTGACTTTGACATTGATCTCGACCTTGAACTCGATCTTAATCTTCATCTTGTTCTCATCTTGATCTCGAAATTTGATTAAAAAAAATTGATCTTGATCTTGATTTTTACCTTAACATTGATCTTGACCTTGATCTTGATCTTGAAATCTAATTTGATTTTAAAATTTGATTTTGAACTTTGATTTTGTAATTTATTCATGGAATTTGTTCTTGACCGTCATCTTAAAATTCGATCTTCTATCTTGCTTTTGCTCTTGACCTGAAATTGTTCTAGAACTTGAACTTGATCTTGATTTTGAAGTTTAAGTATGAGTATGACATTGATCTTTGTCTTGAAATTTTATCTTGCAGTGTGATACTGAAGGTTATCTTTGAAGTTTGATTTTGATCTTGATTTTGATACTAAAATTTGATCTTGTTCTTGATCGTTCTCTTGAAGTTTCAGCTTACTTTTGAAGTTTGATCTTGCTCCTCTCTAGTAAAGTTTAATTTTGAAATTTAATTTTGATTTTAAAATTTGATTTTTTTGGTTTTGAAATTTAATTATGGAATTTGTTCTTGATCTAGCTATCGACCTTGAACTTGTTCTTGACCTTCAGCTTGTTTCTGACCTTGATCTTGAAGTTTAACTATGACATTGATCTTGATCTTTTATCTTGCAGTGTATACTGAAGTTTGACCTTTGAAGTTTAATTTTGAAGTTTGATTGTATCTTAAAGTTTGGTTTTGATCTTGATTTTGATACTGAAGTTTGATCTTGGCTTTTTGGAGTAAAGTTTAATTTTGATTATAAAATTTGATTTTGACTTTTAGGTTTTCTCTTGAAATTTGCGCTTGACTTAGGTTTCGTGCTAGGTCTCGATTTAGATTTTGATCTCTATTTTGATGACGATTTTGATCTCGACCTTCCTATCGATCTTAAACTCAATCTTGATTTCGAGCTTAAACTTGATTTTGATCTCCATCTTATTCTCGATCTTGATCTCGAACTTGAACTCGATCTTGATCATATCTCAATCTTGATCTTCATCTTGATCTCATCTTGATCTCAAAATTTGATTAAAAAATTTTGATCTTGATCTTGAACTTTACATGACATTGATCGTGAGCTTAATTTGATCTTGGAATCTAATCTTGAAATTTGAATTTTGAAATTTGATTTTGAACTTTGATTTTGTAATTTATTCACGGAATTTGTCCTTGACCGTCATCTTAAAATTCGATCTTCCATTTCGCTCTTGCTCTTGACCTTGAAATTGTTCTGGAACTTGACCTTGAGCGTGATTTTGAAGTTTAATTATGAGTATGACATTGATTCCTGCCTTGAAGTTTTATCTTGCAGTGATACTGAAGGTTATCTTTGAAGTTTGATTTTGATCTTGATTTTGACACCAAGGTTTGATCTTGATCTTGATTGTTCTCTTGAAGTTTCAGCTTACTTTTGAAGTTTGATCTTGCTCTTCTCTAGTAAAGTTTAATTTCGAAATTTAATTTTGTTTTTAAAATTTGATTATGGCTTTTAGGTTTGTTCTTGAAATTTGCCGTTAACCGAGATCTCGTGCTCAGTTTCGATTTAGATTTTGATCTCGATCTCGATCTTGATCTTGATTTAGATCTTGACCTTGACCTTGATCTTGACCTTGATCTTGATCTTGGAATCTTATTTGGACATTTGAATTTCAAAATTTGATTTTGGAATTAGACTTTAAAATTTGAGTTTGATATTTGTTTTTGAAATTTGATTTTAAAATTGAATTTTGAAATTTGGTTTTGAAATTTAATCACGGAATTTTTTTCTTGATCTTGATCTTGAAGTTTGATCTTGATCTTGCTCTTGACTTTGGACTTGTTTTTGACCTTCAACTTGTTCCTAACCTTGATCTTTAAGTTTAATTATTACATTGATCTTGATCTTTTATCTTGCAGTGTGATACTGACGTTTGATCTTTGAAGTTTGATTGTCTCTTAAAGTTTGGTTTTGATCTCGATTTTGATGCTGAAGTTTGATCTTGATCTTTCTCTTGAAGTTCCAACTTACTTTTGTTTTATTATATAGTTTGATCTTGGTCTTCTGTAGTAAAGTTTAATTATGAAATTTAATTTTGATTTTGGTGTTTTAGGTTTGATCTTGAAATTTACGCCTGACTTAGATCTTGTGCTCGGTCTATTTTGATTTTGATCTCGATTTTGATCTCATCTTGATCTTGAAATTCGATTTTAAAATTTTGAACTTCATCTTGAGCTTGACCTGGACATTGATCTTGATCTTAATTTGATCTTGGAATCTTATTTTGAAATTTGAAATTTGATTTTCAAGTTTTATTCTGAAATTTGATTCGAAAATGTGAAGTTTTGAAATTTGATCGTGGAACTTGTTCTTGAGCTTTCTCTTGAAGTTTGATCTTGCTCTTGACTTTGAACTTGTTTTTGACCTTGATCTTGATCTTGAAGATTAATTTTGATATCGATCTTCATTTTGAAATTTGATTTTGCAATATAAAACTGAAGTTTGGTATTTGAAGTTTGATTTGATCTTAAAGTTTGGTCTTGATCTTGATTTTGATATTTAAGTTTGATCTTAATCTTGATCTTTCTCTTAAAGTTTCAGCTTAAATTTGAAGTTTGATCTTAGTCTTGAGGATTGATCTTGGTGTTGAAGTTTGATCTTGATCTTAAAGTTTTAATCTCTAAGGTTTGATTCTGATCTTGAAATTTGATTTTGGCTTTTAGGTTTGTTCTTGAAATTTGCGGTGGACCGAGATCTCGTGCTCGGTTTCGATTTAGATTTTGATCTCGATCTTGATCTTAACCTTAATCTAGATCTTGATCTTGTCCTTGACATTGATCTTGGAATCTTATTTGGAAATTTGAATTTCAAAATTTGAGTTTGGAATTAGATTTTCAAATTTGATTTTAAAATTGAATTTTAAAATCTGGTTTTGAAATTTAATCACGGAATTTTGTTCTTGATCTTGATCTTGCTCTTGACTTTGAACTTGTTCTTGACCTTGAACTTATTCCTAATCTTTATCTTGAAGTTTAATTATGACATTGATCTTGATCTTTTATCTTGCAGTGTGATACTGAAGTTTGATCTTTGAAGTTTGATTGTATCTTAAAGTTTGGTTTTGATCTTGATTTTGATACTGAAGTTTGATCTTGATCTTTCTCTTAAAGTGCCAACTTAGTTTTGAAGTTTGATCTTGGTCTTCTGTAGTAAAATTTAATTATGAAATTTAATTTTGATTTTGGCGTTTAGGTTAGATCTTGAAATTTGCGCCTGACCTAGATCTCGTGCTTGGTCTATTTTGATTTTGATCTCGATTTTGATCTCACTTGATCTTGAAATTCGATTTGAAAATTTTGAACTTCATCTTGAGCTTGACCTTGACATTGATCTTGATCTTAATTTGATCTTGGAATCTTATTTTGAAATTTGAAATCTGATTTTCAAATTTTGTTCTGAAATTTGATTCGAAAATGTGATTTTGGTTTTTAAATTTGATCGTGGAACTTGTTCTTGAGTTTTCTCTTGAAGTTTGATCTTGCTCTTGATCTTGAAGATTAATTTTGACATCGATCTTGATTTTGAAATTTGATCTTGCAATATAATACTGAAGTTTGGTCTTTGAAGTTTGATTTGATCTTAAAGTTTGGTCTTGATCTTGATTTTGATATTTAAGTTTGATCTTAATCTTGATCTTTCTCTTGAAGTTTCAGCTTAATTTTGAAGTTTGATCTTAGTCTTGAGGATTGATCTTGATGTTGAAGTTTGATCTTGATCTTAGAGGTTTGGTAATGAGCTTGAAGGTTTGTTCTTGAAATTTGCGGTTGACCGAGATCTCGTGCTCGGTTTCGATTTAGATTTTGATCTCGATCTTGATCTTGACCTTGATCTAAATCTTGATCTTGACCTTGATCTTGATCTTGGAATCTTATTTGGAAATTTGAATTTCAAAATTTGATTTTAAAATTGAATTTTGAAATCTGGTTTTGAAATTTAATCACGGAATTTGTTCTTGACCTTGCTTTTGATCTTGCTCTTGACTTTGAACTTGTTCTTGACCTTGAACTTGTTCCTGATCTTGATCTTGAAGTTTAATTATGACATTGATCTTGATCTTTTATATTGCAGTGTGATACTGAAGTTTGATCTTTGAAGTTTTCATTGTCCCTTAAAGTTTGGTTTTGATCTTGATTTTGATACTGAAGTTTGATCTTGATCTTTCTCTTGAAGTTACAGCTTACTTTTAAAGTTTGATCTTGGTCTTCTGTAGTAAAGTTTGATTATGACATTTAATTTTGATTTTGGCGTTTAAGTTTGATTTTGAAATTTAAGCCTGACCTAGATCTCGTGCTCGGTCTATTTTGATTTTGATCTCGATTTTGATCTCATCTTGACGTTGACATTGATCTTGATCTTAATTTGATCTTGGAATCTTATTTTGAAATTTGAAATCTGATTTTCAAGTTTTATTCTGAAATTTGATTCGAAAATGTGAAGTTTTGAAATTTGATCGTGGAACTTGTTCTTGAGCTTTCTCTTGAAGTTTGATCTTGCTCTTGACCTTGGACTTGTTTTTGACCTTGATCTTGATTTTGAAGATTAATTTTGACATCGATCTTGATTTTGAAATTTGATCTTGCAATATAATACTGAAGTTTGGTCTTTGAAGTTTGATTTGATCTTAAAGTTTGGTCTTGATCTTGATTTTGATATTTAAGTTTGATCTTAATCTTGATCTTTCTCTTGAAGTGTCAGCTCAAATTTAAAGTTTGATCTTAGTTTTGAGGATTGATCTTAATGTTGAAGTTTGATCTTGAAATTCCATTTTAATCTTTAAGTGTAGTTTTGATCTTAAAATTTGATTTTGATTTTAATTTTGAAATTTGAATTCGGTTTCCTATCTGATTTCGATTTCGACTTCGGCTTCGATTTCGACTTCGACTTGGACTTCGACTTTGTTTTTGTACTACCATAAACACTGGTTATAAATTCGGAAGTAATTACGGCCATCGGAACAATAAAAATTTTCTCGTATATTAGTATCACTAGAGATTATCCCGGCTCCTCCACCATTTTAAATAATACTCCTAATTCATTCAGATTGTACATTAGTTTTGTGCTTTATAAAGTTGATATAGTTCCTTGAATTTTAATTTCAGTTTTTTAAATTTCTGTTTCTACAATACGACCGATAAAAAATACTAGATAATTAAATAACGTAATTCCAAATCTATACTTATTTGAATTTTTCTTTTTCTTTTTCCAAATCTGTAATATTGGTTTAGCAACTGTCTTTGTTATTCCTGTCATATGTTTTTTTTTGTTCTATTTTTCATCTATGTATGGATAAAATATATAGTACTGTCAATGCATTTTTACCTACTGTGGAAACAGTGGAAGTGTATTGCTGACGTCATTTCAGAAGTTCAACTACTTGAATCTTGCTTAAAATATGCACGTTTTGTTTATTTGTGGCTTAATAATGTAACGCATTTTTATCTTAACGTTTACAGGTTTCCTGCAAAAATTAACGTTGGCATAATAAAATGTTACGTTTATTGCTACTCGCAGGAAATTAATTACACCATAATAAGCAATGAATTGAAATGGGACATCGTATTTATCTGAAACATATACGTTTGTTTTTTTTTTCGTAGGCCGTCTTTAAAAAATAATGCATTTATAATGTAGGTACTCTACTAATTTATTCAAAAAACATACATATTTTGCAGAGCTACAAATGTAAAAATCTTGGGTTAGATAAACTTTAATTGTATTATTTCTTTCCAAAAAGATCAGCAACAGGCACTTTCGTTAACAGCCCATCCAAAATAAAGCCAAATATCTTCCCAAAAGCTTCTTGATAACCAGACCTAACATCATCATACATTTCCAGTATATTTGTTCTCGCGATTTTCAAAAATCGGTCGGCTGCTTTTTCATCACCATCGAATAAATTCTTTAAATCGAAGTCAATCTTTCGCGGTTGCATATAAAGCTCTTCTTTAATAACATTGTAATATTTTTTACCCTTTTTTTCGTATTCCCCGAAATTGAAAGAAAGCACTAAATGATTATCTTCTGCAATAACACAGTTAATCGTAGGAAAATCATGAAAACGACCTTACGTAAAATGGCCCATCCAGTTCCTTTTCCGTATACAGATATCAACAAAACTTGCCCATGCAATTCATATTCAAAATCTAGTCGAAAGTGAGGTACGACACAATCCAGTTTTAACGTTTTTGTGTCAACATCAAACCTGTAAAAGTGACTTGCTTAGTTAATTGTTGTAATTAATAAATCAACTTACTCGACTTTGGAACAAGTAGTCTCGTTGAAACCCGACAATTTCAAATGTTTAAAAATTTGTTGGGTAAATACAATCCGAGATCCAGCAGCTATAGTCAATTCTGGAATTTCCAAGGGTTCCATCCCCAACAAATTCACCTTCCTGAAAGGACGATTCAGTTCTCTTATTGCCTTTTGAACAGCTGTCGTCAAACACTCTTGGAAGTCGTTTTGTTTCAGGTCACATTTTATAAACTCGGAAGCTAAAATTTTATAGTCAGAAATAGAACTAATTATATAACAAACACACGTAATTTGACGGTGGAACCGAAAGATGTCAAAAAAACACAGACTGTTATTAGAAGTGATTTCATGTTTTCTCAATGAAGTGTGCTTGAAAAGGCACTTTACTCCTATATATATGGGTGATAAAAGGAAAAAAAGTACCCACAAACCAGTTGAGAATCTTGGGTTTTAGTACCTACTATGTTTACTGGTTCACCTTTCTCTAAAGTCATTTGGGATTGTTATCCCAAATATGTTTATCGCTTTCAATTAAAATAAAATATCACGTCACGTGGTTTTTTAAATTTACATTTGTCGGGTGGCATTTTTACTTGTTTCGCAAATGAAGACCATTTTTGGTCTCACGTTTTATTCAACATTAATATTTATAATTACGGAACAGTAATTATGTTGATAAATTAACCAGGCGAATATTTTTTCAGTCTTGTAGTTATATCGTGTTTTTTCTTAATACAGTTATGAGTACTTATTTTTTTGGTCCATGTCCATTTCTGCTGTTTTTGTATTGTTGTCTATGGCAGAATTTCACATTTGTGAATTTTTTTTCCTTGTTTTGTTTTAATAATAATGATAATAATAATAATTGCTCCGTTCTTTTTCCGAGAACAAGAAGATACTAGTTTTATGTCCTTAACTCTCTAAAAACATCAAAAGTTATTGTAAGTATAGAAAAAAAATATATCTGCTAATAGTGTTCGGATGAGAAGAACACAAGCACAATAAACACTCAAATGTGTTTGTTCCATCTAAAATATGCAAAACTTTACTTTATGGATGTTTTGACAAAAAAATCTCGTTTTTTGTTGACATTTTTCAATGTACTCTTCCAATTTTTCTAAACCGTTTTCTTGTTTTTTCATTCCACATAGAACAGTTTTTGGTTTTCATAGACTTGAGCCGAGATTGAAATGAAATTTCACCTAATGTGAATTGAAAGTTTAATTTGTCAATTTATGTCAATTCTTGTCTATTTGACAATAATGTTTGTTAAAAAGTAAGTGTCATTTTTAATCCAAACATAACAATCATATTATTGATTTTTTATTGTTGTTAAATACCTCTCCTTTTGTTTTTCTTTTGCCTCATTATTGTTTATTCGTCGAACTTTTCCATGTTTTGTGATTTCGCATTTCTCATTTCGCATATCTCGTTTCCCACAGCGTATCTCTCATTTCCCACAATAGCAGATCACGTTTCTCACTTCCATTTTTTCATTTCTCATTTGGTACATTTTTTTTCTCTTGTCGCATTTCTCGTTTCTCATTTCGAATTTCCCACTTCTCACTTTTGACTTCTCACACCTCGTTTCTCATTTCCCATTCTCATTTCTCATTTCGTACATCTGGTTCCCCATTTGAAAAACTTCGTTTCTCATTTCACGCATCTCGTTTCTCATTTCGTACATCTCATTCATCATTTCACATTTCTCATTTCTCATTTCGCATTTCTAATTTCTCATTTCGTACACGTTATTTCTCATTTCTCATATGCAATTTCTCATTTCATAACTGTTGTTCCGCTATTCGTATTTTTAGTTTCTCATTTGTAATTAAATTTTAAATTAATGTCTGTATGTCTTTCTGTCATTATATTATTTTTAACTGATTTATTAACTATTTTGTTCCATTTTATTGTACCCCACCTTCCTTCTTTCGTTTTTTCTTTATTTCCTTTCTACTTGTTTGTCATTTCACATTACTCGCTTTCATTTGGCAATTCTCATTTCTCACTTCGCACATCTCGCTTTTCATTTCGTATTTCTCCCTTTTCATTTCACACAATTCGCTTACCATTTCGCGTTTCTTATTTTTCATTTCGCACTTCCCTTTTTTTTCGAATTTCTAATATTACATACTCATTTTGCATATCTCATTTCTCATTTATAATTTCTCATTTTGCATTTCTAATTACTCCTTTACACAATTCGTTTCTTATTGCGCATTTCTCATTTTCTTTTTCCTATTATTCGTTTTTCATTTCCCATATGTCACTTCTCATTTATCGTTATTTATCTCGCATTTCTGATTTCGCATTTCTAATTTCTCATTCCGCACATGTTATTTCTCATTTCTCAGTTGCAATTTCTCATTTCCCAGATCTAACTTTTTATTTCTCATCACTCATTTCGCATCTGTCATTCTGCATTTCGCATTTTTCGTTTCTCACTCGTCATTAAATTTTAAATTGATGTCTGTCATTATAGGACTTTGGATTAATTTATTAACTGCTTTATTCTATTTTGTTGCATTCATCCTCCCTTCTTTCCTTCCTTCGTTCCATTTTTCCTTTCTTTTATTCTTTCTTCCTTTCTACCTTTCATTCTTTCTTCTTGTTCCTCAGTTCACATTGCTCGTTTCTCATTTCGCACATCTCATTTCTCATTTCGCATATGTTATTTCTCATTTGTCATTTGTAATTTCTCATTTGTAATTTTTCATTTCTCATCACTCATATCGCAACTGTTGATCCGCATTTCGCATTTTTCGTTTCTCATTTGTCATTAAATTTTAAATTAATGTCTGTCTGTCTGTCATTATAGTATTTTTAACTAACTTATTAACTATTTTGTTCTATTCTGTTGTATCCATCCATCCTTCCTTCCTTCCTTCCTTCCTACCCTCCTTCCTTCCTTCCTTTCTTCCTTCCTGCCTTCCTTCCTTCCTTCCTTCCTTCCTTCTTTCCTTCCTTCCTTCCTTCCTTCTTTCCTTCCTTCCATTCTTCTTTTCTTTCTGGTTCCTCATTTCACACATCTCATTTTCCTTTACACATTATTTGTTTTTTATTTCGCATCTGTCATTCCGCTTTTCTCATTTTTTGTTTCTCATTTGTCATTGAATTTTAGATTTGTGTCTATCTGTCTTTCTATTTTTAACTAATTTGTTAATTATTTTGTTCTATTTTGTTGTATCCTTCCTTTCTTTCTCTCTTTTGTTTTTTCTTTTATTTAATATTTCATTTCGTATATCTCATTTCTCACTGCGCATTTGTCATATCGCACATCTCGATTCTCATTTCAAATTTCTCATTTCGCACATTTCGTTTCTCATTTATCACACCTTTTTAATTTCCCAATTCTCATTTTTTATTTCGCACATCTGATTTCTGATTTCAGAAATCTCGTTTCTCACTTCACACATCTCGTTTCTTATTTCGCATTTCTTATTTCTCATTTTGCACATCTTGTTTATCATTTCGCATTTATCATTTCACATTTCTCAGTTCGCATTTCCCATTTTTCGTTTCGCACAATTAGTTTATCATTTCGCATTTATTAATTTTCATTTCACATTTTCCTGTTTTCATTTCGCATTTGTAATAATAACCGTTTTGCATATCTCATTTATAATTTCTCATTTCGCATTTCTAATTATTTCTTTTGCAGCTCGTTTCTCATTTCTCTTTTCGCATTACTCACTTTTCATTTTGAACATGTCATTTCTTATTTGTAATTTCTTATTTATCATTACTTATTTCGCATTTCTACTTTACCATTTCGCACATGTAGTTTCTCATTTCTCATATGTAATTTTCAATTTCTCATCACTCGTTTCGCATCCGTCATTCCGTTTTTGCGCATTTTTGGTTTTTAAATTTGTCTGTCTGTCATTATAGTATGTTTAACTAATTTATTAATTGTTTTGTTCTATTTTGTTGTATCCCTCCCTTCTTCATTCTTTTCATTCTTTCTTTTGTTTCTTCTTGTCTCTAATTTCTCATTTCCTACATCTCGCTTCTCACTGTGCATCTCGAATCTCATTTCGAATTTTTTATTTCTCATTTCGCACATGTGGTTTCTGATTTCAAAAATCTCATTTCTCACTTCACACATCTCGTTTCTCATTTCGCATTTCTTATTGCTCATTTCGCATATCTCGTTTCTCATTTTGCATTTCCACTTTCTCATTTTACATTTCTCAGTTCGCATTTCCCATTTTTCGTTTCGCACAATTCGTCTATCATTTATTCATTTCTTAATTTTCATTTCACTTTTCCCTTCATTCATTTCGCATTTGTAATAAAATCCTCATCATAAAGTTCTCATCTTCCTGATCGCACATCACGATTCTCATTTCATATTTCACATTTCGCATGTTTCTTTTCTCATTTATCACACCTTTTTAATTTCCCAATCATCATTTCTTATTTCGCACATCTGGTTTCTGATTTCAAGAACTTCGTTTCTGACTTCATACATCTCGTTTATCATTTCGCATTTTTTATTTCTCATTTTGCTTTTTTAAATTCTCATTTCCCACTTCTAAGTTCTCATTTCGTACATTTCGTTTCTCACTTTGCATTTCCACTTTCTCATTTCACATTTCTCAGTTTGCATTTTCCATTTTTCGTGTCGCACAATTCGTTTATCATTTCGTATTTCCTAATTTTCATTTCACATTTCTCTTTTTTCATTTCGCATTTTGCACATCTCATTTCTCATCTATAATGTCTCATTTCGCATTTCGAATTACTCCTTTTGCACATCTCGTTTCTCATTTCACATTTCTCAATTCCCTTTCCGCATTACTCGTTTTTCATTTCGCACATGTTGTTTCTCCTTTTTCATTTGTAATTTCTCGTTTCTCATTTGTAATTTTTCATTTCTCATCACTCATTTCGCATCTGTCATTCCGCTTTTCGCATTTTTAATTTCTCAATTGTCATTAAATTTTAAATTAATGTCTATTTGTCTGTTTGTTTGTCTATCTGTCTGTCTGTCATTACAGTATTTTTAAATAATTTATTAACTGTTTTGTTCTATTCTGTTGTACCCCCCTTCATTCCTTGCTTCCATTCTTCCTTCCTCGGTACTTTCCATTCTTTCTTTCTTATGTTTCTCTTGTTACATTGCTCTCTTCTCATTTCACACGTGTCATTTCTCATTTGTCATTGAATTTTAAATTAAACTTTATAGTACTTTTAATTAATTTCCTTCCTTGCATTCTTTCTTTCCTCCCTTTCTTCCATGTATCCTGTCTTTCTTTTTTAATGCTTGGTTCGGAAATGGTTTATTCTAGAGTTTGAATCTCTTATCTTATACAAAAATATATTTCCGTCAAGTATTTATTTTTCTTTTCATGCATGCCTTTCCTAATTTTTTGTTTATAATTCATTCTTAGCAGGTAATATTTACTGGCTATTTCAACATCCCACACTCTCTGACATGGGTTATTTTTCCATGTTTCTCGGTCTATTAAAAAATAGTAATTTCTGTTTGCATTTTTTTTTGTCAGTTCTGTGGGGTATTCGCTCTTGTATTGCTAAAAAGTAAAAAAAAACTGGAATTATTAACTTGGAAACCTCGAGTCGTATCTGATTTTCAAAAGTAAACTCCCCAGCTATAACGAAAAGAAAGACGTTGATGAGAATGTGTAAAAATATATAGACTGTTCTATTTAAGAAACTAAGTTATCAAAAATTAATCACTTTGTAATACTCAAAGAACCGGACAACGGTTGCCTGCGATTTTTTTTTGTATCTTTAGTAATAATTAATGATACATAAAGGATCACTTGCTTAGTTTGCTTAGTGACACCCTGTATATCTATGTTGTCCCATTAATAATTTCATTGTCATTATTCTATTATTTTTAGATTTTTTTTACATGTACGAATTCTTTTTGATATATTTACTATTTCTATTTTTATATGATTCTTTTTTTTTGTAGAGAGAAATTCAGTATATGTACATTTTGCGAATAAAATACCAACAATACTTATTAAACCCTTTATTGTATGTTACAACATTATATCAAGCTATCGAATTTATTACTTTTCTCCGAACAGATAAGCAGCAGGCACTTTTCCCAAAAATCTATCAAAAATAGAAGCAAATATTAGCCCGAAAGCTTCCTCATAACCAGGTTTAACGTCTCCAAAAATTTCTAATGCATTCTCCCTTATGATTTTTTTAACACGATCAGCTGCCTCTTCATCACCGTCGAACAAATTCTGCAAATCAAATTCAATATCTGTCATCCGCATTTTGAGTTCTTGTTTGACCACGTTGTAATATTTTTTGCCTTTCTTCTCATACTCTCCTAGTTTGAACGTCAACGTCATGCGATTACCCACTACAAGAGTTACTTTATACTATATATCGGAACAAAATTATTTGCAAACTTACCAAAAACAGCCCATCCACTTCCTTTTCCGTAAAGAGATACTAGGAATAACCGCCCGTTTAACTCGTAATCGAACTCTAGTCTAAAGCGTGGCACGGTACAGTCTAGTTTAAGAATCTTCGTAGCAGAGTCAAACCTGAAATTCGCTTGATTTATTAATCACGTTTATTAAAAATGTGATTAACTCACTCCACTTTAGAACAAGTGGTTTCGTTAAAACCGGACACTTTCATATTTTTGAAAACTTGCTGGGAGTACAGAATTTGGGATCCAGCAGCTACAGTCATTGCGGGAATTTCCAAGGGCTCTAAGTTTAACAAATTCACTTCTTTGAGGGGTCGATTCATTTGCTTGATGGCGCTTTCGACAGCTTTGGTCAAGCATTGTTGGAAGTCGCTTTGTTTTACGTCGCATTGCATAAAGCTAGGGGCTGAAATTTTGTGTTAGGAAAATGACAAAAGTGAAATAAACACTTACGCAGTTTGACTCCAAGTGCGACTGACACCAAGGAAAGATAGATTGATATTAGTGGAAGCTTCATTTTGGGGCAACTGAAGAGTGCAAAACAACCTGCTTGTCTTATATACAGTGAACGAACAAGACCAGAATGGGATACTAAACCAGTTGTTATCGTTTATAATTTTTTTTTCTGTAGTATGCAGTAATCAATTATCTTCTCTCGTTTACCTTTAATAATAATAATAATTAAATACGTAGAGAATTTTATTGACAACGAAGCAATTGGAATAAGTAATAAATTTTAAATTTCAGTAATTTTTTACAAAAATTATAATTAGAAAAGTAATAGGAGTAATCTTGTGAAAAGGGTAATTTTTGATGTCCAGTTTTTTAAAGAATGCTAAAAAACACTTTATTTCACTCTTTTATTATTCATTTTACATAACTTATAATGAAAATGTTATAAATAAAAATTTCCGCCGAAGAGATAAGCCGGCACTTTTAAGGTAATTAAAATAGAAGTAAATACTCGTATACTCCAAAAAATTTATTTATATTCATTAGGCTTCGGATTTTAGGTCGTTAAAAAATGAATAAAAGGAGACATTTTTGGGTCTCAAAATTGACGAATTCAGGTGGGAGAGGTGTATTTGGTAAACTGTTTTTATAAAACTCTACTCTTATTGGTGCTTTTAAAAAGATTTTCTTAACATTGCTAATTATCCCATTGATATCTAGATAATTCAGTCTAATTGTTCTAGACACTAATGTAATAAATGTAACCCATGTGCCATACATGTTAAGTGTGTTATATTTTCATAAAACACCTTCAAATTAGTACCAGTTTTGATCGTGTATGAAGCACCATCTGATACAAGCCATTTAACTTTTTTGTGTTCAGTTCCTTTTGGCCACAATAAAGCTACAAATTAACAATTAAATAAATTATAATGATTTCAATGCTTAAAATTATCAATAGCACACCCAATGATTCGTTTATAAATCTCGAGATTGTGTTGCTATTAGTTTTATCAAGCTGCTTCAAAGCTAGTAGAAATGGACGGCCAGGTTCTTCAGAAGATAACTTTCCAATTACTAAATGGGCGCCATGTATCTTCCTAATCTGTCCGTCGTCTCATCGACGCTAATCCATATATCATTATTGCCAATAGAATTTCAAATTTGTTTAATTACCTGTAAATTATGAAATTTATGTTAAACAGTTATTAAATAAAAATTCTAGTGCTCACCATATCGTAATCCTTTGGTAAATAATTTTTTCTCAGAGTGCTTTCTGAGGGTAAATGCCTTCCTGTATATTTATGCATAAAATTTTTAAACTCGGGACAACTAACTTTATTCCATGGAATATTTGCTGCGGTAAATGCTCTACATAAATCGTAAAATTGCGTAAAGTCATTGTCGGAACTAATGTTTAATAAAGTCTGTTTATTGGATTTATTCTCGTTCTTTTTATATGCAACGCCACTGCAGTGTTGTTCAAAGTGTGATTTTTTTTCGCACTTAAACTAGGAAACAAAAATGTGAACATCATTCAAGCTTCAGTATTTTAAATGTTTACTTACAACTTTTTCACACAGTGTGCAGAATAACTCATTGTCTTTAGTTGAAGAAAGAAATTGAAAATTAGTGTCCAAATTATTCCCTAACCATAATTTGATTTTATCTTTCATGGATGATTTTACCTTAGACATTTTGAGAATTCTTTACTGTATGCACAAAAATCAAAACCGGCCCCAGCACACTCACTAACACGCAAAGACACTCACTATCACTAACAATAAACTTCTAAAATAAAATGCTTTTTCATAGATTCACCTCTTTCCGGCTATAATCTAAATGAAATGCAGGCCAGGGTTGTCAGTTGGCGACACCAACCCGTACCATTAAACTCAAGGGCGTTGTTTACAACCCATTTTTAAACAATGTACCAGCCAAAACAATGAATTCACGAAAAATCTCTATTGTGCAAGCACGTCCGCTTCGTTGGTCGTGGAATCCTATTTTAAGCCTTTTAAAATTTACAATTAGGTCGTTTAATTAACACTTTAGGTCGCTAACGGTAAATTAGGCATTTTGGGTAGTAATAAATGGACGTTAAATAAACAGAATTTTTTAAATTCGGATAAGTATATAAATTTTTCTGCAATGCCTGAAGTAGATATAAAAAGACAAAAAACCTAAGATCCGAAGCCTAATAATCATATATAATATCCTCTTTAATTTGATATAAGACCGTGTAGTTTTATCTGGGACACTCTATACGCATGCACTCGTCAAAGAACCCAAGTGCGACGATAAACCAGTTGTTGTCTTTTATGGTATCGCTTTTGAATGGTGGGCGCCAATGTTTTATTTTTCGTGGTTCACCTTTTGGTAAATATATTGGGTCGGTTTGTATCACTTGCCGATAAAATTTTATGAGGGTATCAAATTAATGTATAGTACTCAGAAACGATTTAATTGGTCAGTGAGTAATCAAATTACAATAACAGTTTGAAATCGATTTTTTACGACAAAATTACGACACAAAACTGTTTTTTCCTTCTCGAGCGTAAGCGAGTCCATCGGGCAACTTATTATTTTCCTGTTTTCTCGATGTGTAATGACCCCTATTAGAGTACGACAAAAAAAAGAGTGCATTGACCCAGGGACTCATGGATGGAGTTTTAACTCTGCGTTGTCAATTTATATAAGTTGAACACGTATACGCGGCGAAGTCACAATAATAGTATCATGAAAAAAATATGTGTAGACACAACAGTAAAACAGTAACAAAACGGCTCGTACGGGCTGCACTTCGTTTATTTGAGAATAGAATAACGTTGCTTCGTTGGACTCTGCTGTTAATTCCAGTTCTCATTTACTTAGCCGTTTTAGTAATTCCGTTTTCCTTAATTGTATTTATGGAATAAGTGACGATTAATTTCAGTGATTATCACCCGCTACTGAGTCCCGGCGATTCAGCGCGTCATGATTACATTTGCAGTAGGCGAAGGAAGATCAGCCGCTCTGTAGCCTAGTGGTCAAGGCACCTGCCCGGCAAGCCGAATATATGCAGTTTTTTTGTGCCGCAGCGCGATGTTTAAAAGCTATTGTGTATCAGCAACTTCTAAGAGACATAGAACACCTTAAAATTATTTTTTTTTTTGTATTTTAAGGACATTTTAAAACATTCGTATCATGTGATATATCGTTGAAAAGACAAAAAAGGGCGCTATTTAATGTATTGAAAAATTATACCCTTTTGATTTGAAGGCATGCAAGGACACCCGGTATATTAGGAATATCATGGAGATGGTAAAATACCAACTAAAATTTGGCTAAGCATTCCCATCAAAAATTTGATGACGCCATCTCAAAAAATTTTGCATTAAAATCATTTAAATGTTATACGATAATAGAGTTCCTGTAGTTGTGGTGTACGAATCCGTTTTGCGTTTTTCCCCTAGATATCCAAATTTTCGTTAAATTGTGATTTTTATTATCACTATTTTTTTTTAATGCATCAAGAGTGGTTCACCTTATTTTTACTTCCCGAGCGTAAGCAAAGGAAGTATTGTAATCGAGTCCGTCTAAAGTCACTAGATCTACTATTACTTTTAGAAAGTACGGCAAACTGCCTGTGGTCGGAATTCGACAGAGAGGAACCTAACCTATGTGTTAAACAAAGATAGCGCGAGGCTAGTAATTTTCGCTATCTGTCAACGAAAGTTTGATGTGTTTACGATTTGAGGTTATGACAGACTGTACTAGAATTATTGAGTTAACGGACCGGAAAGAACATTATTCCAGTCACAAAGTAACTCCAGCCCTATTCAACGAGAAAGTGTCACCGGTAACCAGCAAACAGTCGTGGAAGACGTGTTACCACCAAGGCAATTGACGGCCAAGTGACAGTAACAGGATCGCCATACTAGAAGCAAAAAATATCTGCTGTCGAAAAGACGGAGCATAACAAGGACACAGATATATTTCTATTTCATAAAAGTTACTAATTGCCACACATTTCAAGATCGAGTCACATTAAGTCCGTCGGCCGACGCTCTACTTTTGCATTTTCTCGATCTATCATGACCCCTAGAGGACGAAGAAATAGGTCTTCCGTTTCCGTCTGTCTGTACGTCTGGCTGTCTGTCTGCCGTCCCGGATTTTTATTAGACAGATAAACTCCGAAAGTACTGGACCGATTGTTGTCAAATTTTGTATTTATATTAGGTACATGATGTAGATGGTAAAACGTTAACCAAAATTTGTCTAAACATACCCACCACTAATGCGATGACGTCACTTCAAAATTGTACATAGAAAATGGGTTTTAAATTGTATCAAATAACATAGTCTTACACATGTAGTTTATGACTCCGAATTGAGATTTTACCCGAAACGTCCAGATTTTTGGCAAAAAAATCAAAATTAGGAACCAACATTTTGACATTTAATTTGGAATCTGCAAAACTGAATGCTTTGAAATCTTGCAGATGGCTTACAGTTATGGTAAGCATGATAAGTTTTTATTCAAAATGTATTTACTTGTCCCCTTCAAAAAATTGATGACACTGCATTAATATTTTTTAGATTTGCTTAAACAGGTGACTCAAAAGAATTAATGAATCAGTCAATTGATTATTATTGATCAAATTAAAAATGGATTCTGGAAAATGTGAGGATACGCTCGTCTTTATGACAATAAAATAATGATAAGGTAATAAACTAATAATACAATTCAGAATATTTTGTTCAATGGAGGCTTATGAATAATTTTAGTCATCTGTTTTGGGGAGATAAACTCATTCAAATCAAACAAATGCCTACGAGACATTATTCCGATTGATAATGTGCTGTAAATACATTTTTTGCACTCATAACTTTTTTTGATGGCGCATTCAATAGCATGCGGGACGTCGAACATCACGCACAGATGCGTTTTGCCATGACGTCGTTGTCTATAAATAAAGCTGGGCGGTCGAAATTTATTCATCCTATCTAACCGTCTGAAGTGCGCCCGGTGCATCCTTGTCTTACTCGCTTTTCGCTTTCCAATTGTGCATCATTTTTAATAATTTACAGAAATAGTTTTATTTTTCAGCGAGACCGACACTTGAAAATTATTAAAAATATTATAATTATTAAAAGTAAAATAAACAGCTTGTCATGTTTTTGTGAATTTTGTACATTACTTTATCATAACCCTTTATAAGCTGTCACGTCTTCTTCCACCAAGACAAAAATGCAAGAATGATTGATTAAACACCACATACAATTTTGCTAAAATTGCTTTGAAATGAAATGAGTTCAGAATACAGATTTTTCAAATATAATATGAAATAGTGCTCTTTAAACCTTTATTATACTATTATAATAAATGTAAGATACGTTATAAAATTATATCATGCGATCAAATATTACTTTTCTCCGAATAAATAAGCAGCAGGCACTTTTCCCAAAAGTCTGTCGAAAATAGAAGCAAATACTAGCCCAAAAGCTTCCTCATAACCAGATCTGACGTCCCCATAAATTTCTAGTGCATTCTCCTTCATGATCTTTTTAACGCGATCAGCTGCCTCTTTATCACCGTCGAACAAATTCCCTAAGTCAAAATCAACATCCCTCATCAGCATACTGAGCTGTTGTTTAACAACGTTGTAATACTTTTGGCCCTTTTTCTCATATTCCCCTAGTTTCAACGTGAGCTCCAGATGATTATCAACTACGATATTTATGGTCACTTTACACTGAAGCAAAATTAGTAAAAAACTTACAATAAACACCCCATCCACTTCCTTTTCCGTAAACAGATATCTGCATGATCTGCCCGTTTATTTCGTAATCAAACTCTAGTCCAAAGTGTGGCACGACACAGTCTAGTTTAAGAATCTTCAAGTCAGTGTCAAACCTGAAAATCGCTGAAATAATCGCTGTTATTCGAAATCTGGTTAACTCACTCCACTTTAGAACACGTGGTTTCATTAAAACCGGACACTTTCATGTTTTTTAAAACTTGCTGAGTGTAAAACACGTGCGATCCAGCAGCTATAGTCATTGAAGGTATTTCCAAGGGTTCTAGGTTCAGCAAATTCACTTCTTTAAAGGGACGATTCATTTGCTTTATGGCGCTTTCGACAGCTTTGGTCAAGCATTGTTGGAAGTCGCTCTGCTTTACGTCACATTTCATGAAGCTGGAAGCTAAAATTTTGCGCTAGAAGAATGACAGAAATGATAGTAATACTTACGTAGCTTGGTTCCAAGTGTGGTGACCACCAAAGAAAGACAAGTGGATATTAGTGGTAGTTTCATTTTACTTAGTTCAACTGAAGAGTGCAGAATAACCTGTTGGTTTTATATAGAGTTCGTAAACAGGACCAAAATGACACAGTAAACCAGTTGTTATCGTTTGTAATACGTTTTTTACTATACCAAGGAATAATCAATTATCTTTTGTCGTTTACCTTTATTAATTCAAAGTATAGTGTATTTCATTGAAAACGAAGAAACTAAATAAATTTATAAGAGGTTTTGTTGTGAAAAAGGGGCAACATAATTTTTATTTTTGACATTTTCATAAAGTGTTTCCGACAGCCTTGCACTCAAAAATTTTGCATCTTTATATAGTAGGGTTGGCCATGAAAATCTAGTGAGTTTGTTGGTATTCGATGCAGAAGAAGAAAAATTCCCTGAACTTTTTTCCTTAAGTTATGTTTTATTAAATTAAAGCTTAAAAAATATGCCAGAAATATAAACATTGTTGCCGATACTTTCAGTTTTCAGTAGCATGACCAAGTTAACGGTATCCATTTCCTAGAAAGCATAAAACTTTACGCTATTTAAAACAGTTATTCGGCTTATTGTAAGTGTTTATTTCATATGTAAGGAATAAACACTAAAATTTCACTTAAACATTGTTTTTATATGAATGGGGGTTCTATATACGACTATTCTCACATGCCACATTTAGCATTTCATCTTTAATTCTCAATCATCAGTTCGTTCTGCTCGCCCACTCTTCTTAGAAATGGAAATTTCGACCTTTGTGAACAGCCTATTTCCATATCTTCCAACTTCTTTTTTCACTTTTCTAAGATTACTAAAAGGGTTGGTAAAATACAACAACCTTGCTCTAGTGCTTTGATGGGTTTAACTCTTCTGAAACATTTTTCCGGCCTTAAATTGAATGATTTATCTATATAACTATTACTAATGCTTACGTAAGTGCTCTTTGTTTGCTTTTACTAAGTACTTCCAAATGCTTATTAATAAGAACGTTACTATACGCCTTCTCCAGGTCAATGAAGAATTACAAAAAAAAATGAAAATACTTAAAATTTGGCGCAAAGTAACAACGTGGATGATCTAATTAAAATTATACTTATTTTGTTGTACGTCAGGTAGTTTTTCACATACTACCTTGGTAAATTTAGAACGAAAGATGCGTAAAAATATCACCCACCGACAAGCTACAATTCACTCCATTTCCATTATTTCGCTATGAAAATCTGTATCATCACCGTTATTTTCAAATTCAGATTCTGAATCAGACTCACCTAGCGAAATAAGGAGGTATAGATTGGTACGAAAGATTTCCCATATCTTTTTCCCAATCTGGCAAAATAAGTTTTTCACAATGTTTACAAAAATTTTGCCACATGCTTGGAGTACATTTAGAAAGCACCTCAAGCCATAAATTCTCCACCCTATTTTTTAATGAAGGTTCAGAATGTATATGCTTGTTGTAATATTTCTTACAAAATCCCCACGCCATTTTAATTGGATTTTATTGACAATTGTACGGAGGTAATCTAAGAACTTCATGGCCACTTTCTCTTGATATCTCGTCTACCAAATATCTTTTTTGTTCTATTGTTTCTGAAGGGTTTAATCAAATCCCACAACAGTTTCTTCGAAAATTTTTTGTCAAATTCAACACAATGTTTAAAGAGCCATTCCTCCATTTCACATTTTTTACTAGAAAAAGTGGGTGGTTTTTCCAACTGAACCGAATGATACGGTGCATTGTCTAAAACCACCACACATTTTTGGTTCAACTTTGCCAAAGCAGGAATGAGCTGATTTCACTTTTTGAAAAATTGTCCCTTCCAACGTTTTATGATAGTCTCTATCGTTAATTTTTGAATTTAAAAAATTGTTACCACTATCCAAGAACCCCGTTGAACAAACCGCGTGGAGAATAGTAAACCTTGGTCCTTTACTTTTAATTTTGGTAGGATTGCTTTTTAGATCAGTATCGTGCACCGAGCGACGAATGGACGAACCATTTTGATAGATCCATGTTTCATCCAAATACACGAAAGTCAAATTTTCACAAGAATTTAGAAACTGTAAATATGCTCTCAAAAAAGTAATTTTGGCTGCAACGACATATTTTTCTTCACATAGAATTTTGCGACCATTTACTTCCCTGTGTTTATAACCCATTGACCTAAGCATTTTGAATAATGTGGTTCGCCCCCTTTAAATTCCAACTGTTCCCTAGAATATGCCAAAAGAGTATCTACAATAATATTCGTTTTTTTCAATAAGTTGCCAAATTTGTCGTTGCAGGTCTTTCCGAAACATATAATTTGTAAATAAATCCGTTGGTTTTCACTTATCAGATAGTAATGTTTTTAAATTTTGGTCCCCTGTTGATAAAATTTTCGCCACCGTTGATGTGCCCACCTATGAGAAAAAAAATTAAAAAATATTTTCCAGCGTATTTTTACATTACAGAAAATATGTTCGAGACCCTCATAGTTACTTCTTCGAAAGAAAGATCGGGCCTGTCTTTTCGAAACTGCAAAAAAGATCTTTTTATTGGAATTTTTTGTTGCAGTAAAACTATTTTAGGCATTTTCTTTTTAAATAATGTCGCAATGATCCGTGAATCTGTCACAATGACAAATTATCTGTGCTGACAAAATTAAGACATTTGTTTGCTTAATTAAAAAATTGCGTCTAATAATTCTGATCTAATAAATGAAGTAGAAAAGTGGCAATCCAGCTCAAAGCAAATGTCAATCAGACTACTGACAGACAAAAAACTAAATCATCAAATCAGTTTATCCAACTTAAAGAAAAAATATCAAAGCCTACTTTAATATATCAAGATCGTGAATGGATAATAATAGATGGTACTATAAACAATTTACCCAGTTCCCGTTCCATCAACACAAACCACTAAAAGCCAGCCAATCGCTTTGTACTCAAAATCCGCCCAAAATTGGAAACCTCTATATACTTAAATATCTATATATCGCACTGTGAGAGCAATACTCACGTAACTCAAAACCAGCGTGTTTTGAGTAATGGTGATTTAAAATTCCCAAGTTCGTATATATTATTTGTACCTTAAATACCAAAGGTTTCGAAATACATTATAGTCGTATTGTCAATCTATTATTAATCGTGTTTTTATTCCTTTAGAGTAGAACCTTCTACTCGTTATAGAAAACAAGAAATTTTGACTTACGTGACTATTGCACTGCTACACCATATCAAATATTTTGGCTTGCGTGTTAATAAATTTAAGACAAGAGCAAACTAGCAACACATTGTAATGAAAAAAATATAACAAAACACAAAACGATCACAGTATTAATTCATTCAACATCTACACTGACCGGCAAAAAAAACCGGCCACCCTGAAAAATTTCGCAAAACCACTTTAAAACTTAATTTAACTAGTGATCGTTATTTTATTAAAGAATCATTCACTATTGACACATGATGTACAAATTAGCACAAAAAAGAAGATAATTAAACGCAGAATTAAATTTAATTTAACGAAATAACAGAAACAGACCAAGTACGATATTTTATTAAAAAAAAAACAATACAGGAGGCTGTTGTTGTAAATAGTGTTTTTCATCATTTGATTATAAGTTTGGCAATTAATAAACGTTTTCACGCGAAAATAATTCCGTTAACAGACGTCTTTCAAAGTGTCGCTCTGTTTCTGTTATTTTGTTAAATTAAATTTAATTCTGCGTTTAATTGGCTTCTTTTTTTTGCTGATTTATACCTTATATGTCAATAGTGAATGGTTCTTTAATAAAATAACGATCACTAATTAAATTAATAATTTTTAAAGCTTCGTTTTGCGAAATTTTTCAGGGTGGCCGTTTCTTTTTTGCCGGTCAGTGTACTATGGCTAAATTGTTATAAAATGTGTTATAATTGTATTTAATTCGTTTTTTTATACATAATTGATTCAGTCCATCGTATTTTTTTACGTATTGCTAAAGGACCTTCATAAATATTGTTTAATCATTTTCATTTAAGTCTGATGCCGCCGTTGTCGTGATGTTCGGGAATTGACTGACTATTATTTCCTGATATACTTCCTTTCTATACGAAGTTAGAAAATTCTATCGGAATTTTTGACAAATTTTATTTTTTTTATTTCGCTCTAATTACCTTTCCTAGCTTTCCTATTCAAAGAAAAATTGATTTCCATGTTTTCGGTCAATTCTTAACTATGTCAGAAGACATTGTGCATTTGTTGTGTTCAATTTGTACGTAAATTAGTAGGAGTATCAGGAGATTATCAACATCGACTGAAATCTCATAGCTTCATAGCTTACGTGCATTTCACTTTAGTTTTGAGACACGGCAGTCTTGCATTAAGTGCACACGTAATGTTCGGAAATGCAAAACTAACATTTTGATGAATTTGCGCATTACGCAACTATTAAAAACCGTTTATACTTACATATACTAAAACTACATTAACTTTTTTATGCATTACTGATAAATTTAAGAATTCGGCAAATTTTGACTTACGTGAGTATTGCTCTCACACTGCGATATAATCTTCTAAATAGTTGCGTTTTATGTGACACTTCATAAAACTGGAAGGCAGCATTTTGTGAAAAGTTGGTTGTAAGTAAGATTATAACATTTACGTATTCTGCTGTGTGAGTAATATACAGGGTTATGACAAAGGAATGCACAAAGTTCATAAAAAGTGTAGTATTTATTTAAAAAAAAATTACGTCAAATTTGTAAAAGTTATGAAGTCATCAATGATTTTTTTAAATAAGAAGGTATAATTTTGAATGTATCATTTTATAAAGCTTATTATTACTCAAAGACTATTTTATTTAGTGAGCGTAAACAATGGAAGTATAGTATTCAATCAGGTCCATCGGACGACTTGTTGCTTTCAAATTTTTTCGACGTTTTATGGCCCCTAGACATTTCGTAGCTAGGGGAAGCCCGGAGAGGCTGAGTCTTCCTTGGAAAAATTTTTGCCTCCCCTAGATCTAGACAGGAGTCAATATACAGATTTTTCTAATAAAACGCAAATCGTACCTGTTAAACCCTTTATTGTGTGTTACAACATTATATCAAGCTATTTAATATTACTTTTCTCCGAAAAGAAAAACAGCAGGCACTTTCCCCAAAAGTCTGTCAAAAACAGAAGCAAACACCAGCCCAAAAGCTTCCTCATAACCAGATCTAACGTCTCCATAAATTTCTAGTATATTGTCCTTCATGACCTTTTTAACACGATCGGCTGCCTCTTCGTCACCGTCCAACAAATTCTCCAAATCAAATTCAACATCTGTCATCAACATTTTGAGTTCTTGTTTGACCACGTTGTAATATTTTTTGCCTTTTTTCTCATATTCTCCTAGTTTGAACGTCAACTGCATGTGATTATCCACTGCAAGAGTTACTTTATACTTTATATCGGAACAAAATTATTGGCAAAGTTACCAAAAACAGCCCATCCACTTCCTTTTCCGTAAATAGATACTAGAAATAGCCGCCCGTTTACCTCGTAATCAAACTCTACTCTAAAGTGTGGCACGATACAGTCTAGTTTAAGAATCTTTTCATCAGTGTCAAATCTGAAAATTGTTTGTTTAATTAATCACGGTTTTTGAAAATTTTATTAACTCACTCCACTTTGGAACATGTAGTTTCGTTAAAACCGGACACTTTCATATTTTTGAACACTTGCTGGGTGTACAAAACTTGCGATCCAGCGGCTACAGTCATTCCGGGAATTTCCAAGGGCCCTAAGTTCAACAAATTCACTCCTTTGAGGGGTCGATTCATTTGCTTTATCGCGTCTTCAACGGCTTTGGTCAAGCATTGTTGGAAGTCGGTTTGTTTTAGGTTACATTTCATAAAGCTGGAAGCTAAAATTTTGCGCCAGAAAAATGACATTAAGAAGAATTATCTTGATAAACACTTACGCAACTTGGCTCCAAATGTGACTGCGACCAAGGAAAGACAAGTGGATATTAGTGGAAGCTTCATTTTGATTCAACTGAAGAGTGCAGAATAACCTGCTTGTTTTATATATACACTTAGTAAACAAGACCAGAATGGGATACTAAACCAGTTATTATCGTTTATACCACGTTTTTTTCTATCGTTGGTGATAATCAATAATCTTTCGTTGTTTACCTTTAATAATAATAATTGAATATATAGAAAATTTCATTGACAACGGAGCAGTAGTTTCCACTGAAAAATTTTAAATTTCAGTTATATTTGACAAGCATTATATTATAAAAACTTCTTAAAGTATGTTAAAAAACACCTTATTTCAGAGGAACATCTTGATATTTTGACGTTTCTTTTTTCAACTTCATTTGTGCTGAATGTTTCAATAATATTGTATGTCTATAGGTTTTAATATAATTATAGAATTCTATTAAGTTTTTCTAATTTAAAATGTTATAAGTATTAATTTTGACTTTTTAAGTTATTTTGAAATTTAAGCCTTGGCATTTACAGAATTTCCATACTCCGATCCGTTCTCAAGATATAGGACCGTGGAGTTTTATCTGGGACACCTGTAAAAGCATGCACTCGTCGAAAAACCCAAAATGCTATGATAAACCAGTTGTTGTCTTTTATGGTATCGTTTTTGAATGTTTTATTTTTCGTGGTTCACCTCTTGGTGAATATATTGGGCCGGTTTATATCAGTTTACGACAAAATTTTATGAGGATATCGAATTAATGAATACTACTCAGAAACGATCTAATTGGTCAATAAGTAATCAAATAATAATAGTTTGTAATCGATTTTTTACGACAAAAACATTACAGTATTGTAAACGAGTCCATCGGGTGATTTTCTGCTTTCGTGTTTTCTCGACGTTTGATGACCCCTAGAGTACGAAAGAGGTGGTGTCCTGTTTATACCGCGTGTTTAGATTAACCCTGGAAAAAATAGTAAAAAAACTCCTTCTCACATTTTGGTGGAGTTATAATGATTTTAAAATTGGTTATTTTGCTACGTTTAACAACTAAACAACACATTCATTATACAATAACTATAGTAATAAAACTTTTAGTTAATATTTGTCTCGCCCATGACTATCTTTAAGTACCATTTCATTTAGATATGGTTGTATTGTTTTTGTAATAATTTGATAAAATTGTATTTGACAAAACTGTTTGCCTGATGCCTAATAAAATCAGCAAAAACCGAGAAAGCAGTTAAAAATGTATCGTATCAAAAATTGTCAAAATTTTCAAAACCTTACGTTAAAAATGTCCGTAGTTAATTTTAGGTCCTCTAGTGTTTTATTTTCGGATCTTTTGTGGTTTTATTGTTTTATTTTTTACGAATTTGAAAAACTCTTGACCGCAGCAGTGTTTTTTTTTATTCGGGAGACTCTTTAGTGCCCATGGTGTATTATTTTGGGAGCCCATGGAGATTTTTTTTGTAAATTATTTAAAACAAATTTGAGGAACTTTGGTATTATACTTTTGAAAAATTGTGAGCAGTCATTTGCCAAAATCGGTCTTATTTCAGCCCCGCCCTCCCACCCTCTATTTTCTTGGAAGATATGTTATTTTCCAAAATGATTCATTTCTTAGCAAGTACTAGCCCCGCCCACATCCCTTTTCTCATTCTAAGGACTAGTGTTATTCCTGTTCAGTATAAGATCATTCATTTCATTCAGATCAGATAAAATCAATCACTGAAAAGGAGACAGGGTGGGTGGGCGGTGCTAGTATTTGCTAAGAAAAGAATGATTTTGGGAAATAACATATCTTCCAAGAAAACAGAGGGCGGGTGGGTGGGGCTAGCACTTGCTAAGATAAGAATGATTTTGGCAAATGACATATTTTCCAAGAAAATAGTGGGCGGGTGGGTGGGGCTAGTACTTGCAATGATGTGTATTCTATCTCAAATTGTCTTGGATTTATAGTCCCAGAAATTTGATGGATGACTTGGATGTAGTGGTTGAAAAATTAAAAGATTGTGTTTTGTCTTCGTTTAAGTTCAGTCTGTTGTTACTGAACCAATTTCCTGCTTCTTTTATGACAATGCTTTTCTTTAATAGTCTTTTTTCTTTGCTCACTAGTTTAATAATGAATGAGGTATCGTCTGCGTAGAGACATGCTGAGTCACAGTTTGTTTTTTAAAAAATCGTTTACGTGCACAATAAACATGGTTGGCCCAACCACACAGCCCTGCGGCACGCCACACGTTACAGTAACCTTTTGAGAACTTTTATCTCCCGATTGTAGTATTTGTTGTTGTCCTTTGAGGTATGATTCTAAGAGTTGTAGAGCATTTCCTCTCACTCCATACCAGTGTAATTTCTGTACAAGTGTACTATGTGATACTGTATCAAATGCCTTGTTCAAATCACACGAAACTAGTTCCACCGTTTCTTTGTTATCTAAGGCTGATATTACTGCGTTCATTATATTTACTACTGCAGTACATGTGGACCGTTCTTTCCTGTATCTTTTTTGGAATAGGGATAATTTTGCAGTGTTTAGTTCATTAGGAAAGTACCCTTCAGCAAAACACTGATTGATAAGCATAGTTAACGGTGGAACTATCTCGTGCACTACCGCATAGACCTCTCTTGTAATTTTTTACTTTATTGACATGATGATTTTCCTTATTTCTTTTTCACTTACAGGGTTCAGAAGCATCTAGGGGATGGTGCTCCACTTTTTTCATATTTTTAATTGTTGTTTCAGCCACTATTGCAAAGTAAGTATTAAAACCTTCGGCACTTAAGGGTCCCCAGTCATCGCCCGCAAAATCGGTTTCAGTGAGAAGAATTATTTTTTGTAACTATCCAACCCAAAGTACCGAACCATTGCAGGTATCGACCCAAAAACACGAGAGATTATGGTCACTGTAGGGAGTCCGTCATAAAATGCAAATCGGTAAACAACAACAGATAAGTTTATTTATTTTCAAATGAACGGTACAGGGAAATATCCATCGAAATCCATTTGTATGTATTTTGAAAGAAATTGAGTTGAAAGTTTAAAATGCTGCCGAAAATAGATTGAGAAACCCACAAGGTTCAGTCTAACACAACTTTTTATTTTCTTTATAATGTTTTAAAAATTTATAAAATAAACTGTTTATGTTCAAATATAACAGCAAAAAAAATTGGTGGAAAGTTGTTTCGACAGAACTTCCCTCGCACCTAAAATTCAATGAAACATATCCAGCATTTTCGAGTTAAATTTTTATTATTATTGACTTAAGCGACACACTTTCACAGCCGAGGCTGGAAACAAATTTGACCGGCTCCTCGCGCGCGACATTGGAGCTCGGCTCTGTGAATAACCAGGAATTTACGTCCAAACACTTTGAATGAAGTTGGTCAACAGACTTGAAGCCCAATTACAGACCAACTAGTACAGATTGAAAAAGAAAAAAATAAAAAATAGTTACCTAAATTACAGGCGGCCACAATTACCACTGCTTCTCATAGAAGATAGGTTTGTTTAACACAATCTGAAGGAATCGTTATGCTCGTTATAGTTAGCGCACATCCGGTATAACGGTGAGTTTTTCTGGATGTCAATACGTGGCGTTGGAAGATAGAAAAATTGATAATTCTCAGGACGAAAGGATGGTCTTGGTATGCTGATGTAAAGTTGGCTAAGAAGTTGAGGACAGTCAATTTGATGATTAAAAATTTTCTTTAAGAAACACAAAGACGCGTTAGTGCGTCTTCTATCCAGATCGATGAGGCCGAATCTTTCAAGAAGAACATTTTGCGGAATTCCTCTGGGTGGGTAAACGCCATCTAATTTGAAGGATACAAATTTCAAGAATCTTCTTTGAATTTTTTCAAGTGCCTGGATATGAATTTGAGTTGCGGGGGCCCAAACCACACTAGCATATTCCAATTTAGATCTGACGAAGGCAACATAAAGTCTTTTTAAAGTAGTACCATTACTGAAACAACCACTAGATCTTATAATGAACCCCAGACATTTAACGGCTTCAGACACTATAAAGGAAACATGTGGGGCAAATGAAAGGGAAGAGTCAAACGTGACACCAAGGTCTTTAAATGAATCAACTCGAGACAAAGTGGAAGAAAACATCGAGTATAAATACAAAACTTTAGAAGTTTTATTGGTCAAGGACATAACGTAACATTTTCTAGCGTTTACGGGAAGGAGATTGTATACACTCCAATTTTGAAATTTGTCGATATCATCTTGAAGTTCTAGGCAGTCTTCGAAGTTATTAATGCGTCGGAAAATCTTTAAATCATCTGCATACATCAACACGTTTGAACTCAGATTTTTGGTAATATCATTAATAAAGATTGCAAAAAGTAATGGTCCGAGAATAGAACCTTGCGGAACGCCAGAAGTAACAATAATTCGATCGGATTCAAAACCATGAAATGTCACACGCTGAGATCTACCGGACAAATACGACCTAAAAAGCTTAATTAAGTTTGCAGAAAAACCGATGCTACTTAATTTGGACAGTAAAATATTATGATTAAGCTGGTCGAAGGCCTTAGAAAAGTCGGTGTACACCACATCCACCTGTCGTTTAGCATCAAAGCTATCAGATACAAATTGAGTAAAACAGCACAAGTTGGTGACTGTAGAGCGGCCATTAATAAAACCATGTTGCGTGTGCGATAAACGATTGCGTACTTGAAATTGTATGAATTTATGAAGAATAGACTCGAAGACTTTGGAAAAATTACACAGTAAAGAGATAGGACGATAATTTATAATCAATTGAGTATTGCCTTTTTTAAAAATGGGTGTAATTAAAGAAAGTTTCCAGAAATTAGGAAAGGAGGAAGATTTGAGTATTAAATTAAATAGAATGGTCAAAGGCCGAGAAAATGCAGTAGCACAGTCTGAAAGAAGAAAACCCGGAATATCGTCATGACCGCACGTAGAATTAGACTTAATGTTTTTCAATGCTTCTAATACATCGGATTCATCAATAGCAGAGACAAAAACTGGAATATTGCTGAGATCTTCGTCAAGACTATTAAAATCAACATGTGCTAGATTAGAATAACT